TAATGGCCGCCTCCTCTAGTAGGTCCCTGTCGAGCTTGGCGACAGCCCACCGCGGGAAGCGAGAAGGGCGCCGCGCCGCGTGACCCCTACTGGGGTCCTGGGACCGGGAGAGCTCGAATCGGATGTACAAATGATCCGAGAGCGTCTCGACCTCTTCCAGGACACACCAGTTCCTTACTCGTGCGGCGACTGCAGGGGTAGCGAACGAAAGGTCCACTATCGACCCCCCCTGCTGTCGCACGCACGTGTTGGTGGAGCCTCTGTTCAGCAAACAGAGGCCCACCGACGCCGCCCACTCCTCGACGGCTTCGCCCCTGGCGTCCGTCGCAGGGGAACCCCACGCAATGGACTTTGCGTTGAAGTCCCCCAGAACCTTTTTTTTTTTTTTTTTTTTTTTTACGTGTGGAAATCCCCTCGGACCGTCACCCCGCCGGGGCTCTCGTTCGGCGGGGCGGTGTGTCGGACTCGAACCGACTAAAACCACACGGTGTGCCCTCTTTGCGCTTCCAGTTTAGGAGGGGTCCAGGTAGCTATCTCCTTCTGGACCCCTCCCAGCGCCGGCCCGCTCCTGGTGCGGGCTCCGTCTCAGTGGACCCTCTCTTTAGGCGACGTCCGGCACACGCGGACGCCGCCCCCTCGCGGCTGGCCAACTAATGCGGGTGGAGGGGAGAACCCATCCCGTCCACCCGCGGCCACACTCAGGGCGGCATGAGGCGCAGGTAAGCGCGCCTCTGCCGCCCGGTTCGCCGGCGGCGAATCAGGTCCGAGTGGAGGTCGTCCTCCCGGGCCTTCTCCGCCGCCTCCTTCTGCGAGATTACCTCCTCGCAGAAGGTTGCGACCGCGGTAAAACAACTGTCGCTACCGGCCATGGAGCGAATTACGGCCGGTAGCGAGAGATCTGCTCCGATGACTGCAGTGAGGGCCCGGCGCTGCGTCGCCCATGCGGGGCAAACCGCCAGCGTGTGCTGGGCCGAATCCTCACTGCAGTCGCAGTGGTGGCAGGCGGGACTCGATTCCCTCCTAGCGACCGAGTGCAGGTACTTTCCGAAGCAACCGTGCCCGGAAAGCACCTGCGTCAGCCGGAAGGAAAGGGTCCCGTGCTGCCGCCCTGCCCACTCGGCGATGACCGGCTGGAGAGCCTCCACGGCGGCGAAGCCAGCGCGTGGAGTCTCCAGCCGGAACGACCATGTCACCATGGTGGCTCGGCGAGCGGCTTCGCGCCACTCGCGCACGTCTTCGGGCGGAGGGCGAAATCCGCTCTCCGCCCGGAAGTCAGCCACTCGCCGATAAACTTCGGCGAGCACTTCCGCCTCCAAATCCCACGGGGGTGTTCCGGCCAAGGCACAGGCCGCCTCGGTGGACACCGTGCGGTATCCGCGTATGGCTCTGACCGCCAATATCCTCTGGGGGCGCCAGAGGCGCGCCCTATTCGGGGCGGTCAGAGCCGCCACCCACACCGGTGCACAAGTCCCCCAGAACCTAACCTAACCTAACCTAACCTGGCCATCAGGAGGGTCTTAACTGACTCGACTGAACAGTGAGTGATACGGGAAATGATCTTAAGTGATTACACCCCACTCGTTCGTGTCTCAACTATCGCAGAGACACGTGTCGAAGAACTGACGCTGTTTTTGGCCTCTTTGGGGTGCGGGTCGGGTAACCTCCATGTTGGCTTCTTCGTTTCTTCCCCCGTTGGACTGCGGTCCTCGGGAGCGGAAGCGAGGGACTGGTGCACCCTGGACAACGGTTAATAGACACTGTCTCTGTCACAGAGCTCTGTATGTTAGCCGATTGACCGATAACCCGACAGCCCTTTTCAGGGCTAGCTGACCCCATTGCACGAGGGGGTCGTGGGATGGCGGGCCTACAAGGCCCGCGGGGGGGGGGGGGAAATCCGTAGGGATACAACAGCCCTTTTCAGGGCTCGCCGTTCCTCCCAGTATCCCTCTGCTTTTCAGTTGGATACTGGGAGGAACGTTGTAATCCCTTAGGGATTTAGCCCGACTCAGGGCTAGCTGACCCCATTGCACGAGGGGGTCGTGGGATGGCGGGCCTACAAGGCCCGCGGGGAGGGATTCGTAGGGATACAACAGCCCTTTTCAGGGCTCCCCGTTCCTCCCAGTATCCCTCTGCTTTTCAGGGGGATACTGGGAGGAGCGTTGTAATCCCTTAGGGATCTAGGGACGGGTCGACCCACTGCTCGCGCAGGGGCAGACAGGCACTCGTGCCACCGTCGGAGTTGGGAGAGTTGGCTTCCCTCCTGCGTCGCGTAATCTCCGGGTGATCGACATACAAACCTGAGTGCTAGCCACACTCAGGAACGCCGTGACCTCGGAGGACGTGGGGCTTGCCTTCATTGGCCGGCCTGCGTCAAGGAAAAGACTATAACACCCGACAGCTAAGTCGCTTAAAACCTATGGATACCGGGGGACCTCCATAGTATTTACCCCGCTTCCCGGAATGAGCGTCACCCGGGAAGTGTATTATTTTCGTCTCATGCTCGTGGGATATGTTATGGATGTTTCAATTAATAAAATAAATAATACTTTTGAGGTAGAAGGAGTGGAGAAGGAGATCGAGACGGAGACCGCAAGGTCTCGTGTCTCTCTCAGAGAGGTGGTGCCGATGGTGGTGCTGGAGCGGATGGACGCTGCCAGCACACCTGGAGGTTCGCGCTCGTCTTCCCCAGCAAGGGGAAGATTCTGGCGCAAGCGAACCAACTCTGCTACAGAGTTGGATTCGCCGAGCGAGGGCGATTCGCGCAGCGAAAGCCCTAAGAGGAGTCGCGGCCGTCCCCCGAAAACGGGGGAGTATGTCAACCTGGCTAGGGCCAAGGCCGAGCTCAACGCGGTCAAGAAGCGGGAGCTCGAGCTCCGCGCTGAGGAAGAGCTTGCGGAGGAGCTGCGACAACAGCGGCAGAGGGCTCTGTGTCCGCTGCCCCAGCCCAGTCCGCAGCCCCAAGCGGGATTGGCATCCTCGGCCAATCAATCCCTCAGTGCGGAGCAGCTTTCGGGCTCTATCGAGGCGGCGGTGACGATGGTTCAAACCATCGCCACCAAAAGCTCGAATTTGAAGGGCCAGTACGTGCGGGACTTCAAGAACGCGTGCAACTCCATCTTGAAGAACGTGCGCGCGCTCATGTCCCGCACGGAATCGGAGGAGGTGGCCCAGCTGCAGGCCGAGTTGGCTGCAGTACGGGCTGAAATGAGGGCCTTGAAGCAGCAGGCGGAGGCTGCTCCGCCCGCGATGAGCCGCGATGAGATAGGCTTTCTCATCGACGCACGACTCGCGGGGATCGCTCACCGCCTGCTGCCGGAGACCCGCATCCGTCCGCCTCTACAGGCGGACAGGAGAAACGCGGCCCGGTCTGCCAGCAGACCTGAGCCCGTACCTGAGGTGTCTCCCTCACGGCCTCTCCCCCTCTCTCCTCCAAAGTCAGACGGGCAGGAGGAGATAGGGGCGTGCCCCCCCGGGCCATCGGGGAAGCAGAAAAAGAAGAGGAAGAAGACGGGGAAGAAGACTGCTGCGGCAAAGGAGGCGGAGGCTGGCCGACAGTCGCGGCAGTCGCCCCCGTCTGCTTCCTCGTCCAATTTATTAGTTGAAGTTGTTTATTATTAACAGTTACCAAGATTTTATCCTACTACGAGTATATTAATTAGAAACAAAATGTTACTGTACATGTGGTTGTCTAATCTTCCTCTCTCCCAAACAAACTGTGCTGCGCCCGACAGGGTCCATAATTGTTGCCGCTTGATTGTTGTCACCTATGTATTCACATTATGGAAGCAATAAAGTTATTGAGTATTGAGTAATGCGCCCCTCTGTGTTCATGGGGTGCATTCTTTAGGAGGACAGGCCCTACCATGTGGGCACGAGGCGAGCCCGTTAAATAGGGCGTCCCTAGCCGAGTCGCGGTTAGCAAACTATCCCGTGGCTCGTCTGTGGGTGGGTAGTCTGGACGGCGAATTTGTCGGCCGTCGTCGCGCCTACAGCCCCAGGGAACTCGAATACTCGAGCTCCCGTCTGGGCGCGGCGCAGCCTGATCCCTGCCGTCCCGAATTCAGTGGCGAGACCAGTTGGCCGGCACCTGGGCCGGCGCCTTGGCCGGCGCCTGGTATATTTATAATATTTATATTGACTTTCTATAAGTGTTAATATTGCAAGAGGTAGCCTCTAGCAATCAATTTAAATTATTTGAAATTCATATTGTTAGATCATTTAACACGTTCGCTGTGTTACCAGATACTTAGAAGTGGTATCGTACCTTGCGTACCTTGCATTCAGTGCGGAGGAGAAAGAGACAAATTCACCGCTCGCTGGTGCGGGAGCTGTATCTTAGGAACTACAAGGGCTAGAAAAGAGACAAATATATTTTTGGGATTGTCTCATAAATTATAACTAGACTAATGTAAAAACTTATACCAAGTCGGTTAGACCTGGATTCAGGATAGATTATAAAGTTATGTTTTAAGGCTTGAAAAATAGACTGTAATGTCGATCAGAAGGTATCTTTATATTCATTTATTGTCTGAAGTCGGTTCAACTTTTAATTTAACTCAGAAGTAAGATACGGACACCAAACATACTTTAAAAACAATTTATTTATGCATAACGAGTTGTGGAGGAAGGAATTAGGTGAACGAATGACACACTCAAGGAAGTCTTTTATTAATTCTTTTATTAGTTTATATGTACGTATTTACAGTAAGTATGTTATTCTATCATTAATGTCTTATTCAATTATAAGTACAGTTGAAGGTGTTCTGTGGAGGAAAAGCTTTCCGAGTTTTAGAAATAACTCAAAAATAATTATATCCACAACGTAAGTATTGGGCTTTTTAAAGGAAAGCCAAACACGTGTTATGTGGTATTGTAACACCTATGAAATACTGAAGTCCTAAAGCAAATGTTAATTGATCGGACGCTCGTAGAAGTATACAGGTATGCTGGCCAACAGGGCCAAGAACGTGAGACAGTGCAAGTGCTTCAGGGGCCAATGAATGGCACCAGCATTCGGCAAGCTGAGACGAGATCTACCGGCGCAATACACGCTCCCTGGGCCGAAACACGCAGCCCACGCCATCCGGTACGGCAGTTGGCTCTGCTCGTATAGGCCCGAGAACATGGAGTGGTGGGGCCCAAGCGCGAACACCGCCACATCGTCTCCCCCGTGCGTCTCGGAAGTAACCGGTATGTCTACGTGTGATCTCCACTGCGGTGTACCTGCACATTACCACAACTTCAAAATGATTGTTGGTGAGAGAAAGCTCCTGTTCGCCACCCAGTAATTATGTATTTATGTGGAGTGATATAACGGCCTCACAGAAAATTGTATGTTCGGATAAGCTGCATTTTATTTCAGGTTTTTTTTTTTCATATTTTTCAAGTCATTATTTTGTTACTTCTAACACTAACACAGGGTTTACTGTTGGGATAGATTTAAATCACAAATTTTCTTTTGTAAGTAATATTGAGTTCTTTAAGTATTTAAGTTTTTTTAAATGCTAGTGGGCAAACGCAAACGGGTAGACGGGTTACTTGATGGGAAGTAACTACCGCCGCCCATGAAGGCCTACAACTCAGGAGTCATAAGCGCGTCGCCAGCATCATCACGATAAATTGTTCCACAGATTGATTGTGCGAAGCAAAATGTGTCTTGAAAAGCTGTAACAGTTATTTTTTTTGTGCATTTGTGATACGTACGATATTGATAAAAGCGGCACCTGTGTGGCCGCATCGCTTTGTTGTTGATTTATCTAAAGTAGTTTGTAGCTACGGTATTGATCTCCTTTGTTCACTTTCGGACCACTAGATGGCGTTTGTTTGAGACATGATAGTTTAATTAAAAAGACTTACTTTTTAATCTGTTCTAGTAATCTGTCATGACAAATTGCATAGGTATTGGGAGTGTTCAGCTATGGTGGAAAGCAAGTTACGTTTGATTTTGTTAGCGTTGTTTTCTTTCTCAATTTAAATGTCAAAGTGAAATGATGAAGAGGGGTTAATTTCTGGAAGATTCCTGAACCGAGGATATATAAGTCCGGCTTTCTGCCACGGGAGACACTCTGCTATCTCGTGTCTTCCAACCTTAAATAGTGTTTTGATTGTCGTGTAATTTGAATTTCGTAATATGTAGTCTGTTATAATCTACCCACTAATGTGGTGAGTATTCTCTCAATTCTTCTTAAACCTATTTGTTTCTGGAACCTGTTTAATTTATATGAGTGCTAATCCATTCGTAGGGTCCCAGATTTCGGGGTCAAGACGGTCAGTCTTAGACGGTGTGCTTGCTCTTTTGTGGCCTTCTGGTACAGACTCAAGTTTCTCGGTACCCTCTGGCAAAGCTGGTGATTGCGCGGCTCACGACGCAAGCGGACAGCCGTACCCAAGAGTTACGTTCTTAAACTTATAATTGTAATTTATTAAACTTTTATCCATATCCAATATAAATAGCCGACTCGGGCGGAAGAGGAAGTAACCTCCTGGAGGGACGACGAGGTGGCACCGAGCACCATCAGCTCGGCTCTAACGCGCACCGCTGCGGTTTTTTTTTTCTTTTTCGTGTACCCACACTGTTTAATTAGTTTAATTTGATCTACTTTTTCTCTGAAATATACATGTATGTATAACTGAGGTGTAAGTTGTTTTCCTCTAAAGAGTCCCATAGGTTTCCCACACGCACACACTTCTATTCTCATACAAGGCGCCCTGAGGTAATCTCTTGAATCTCTCCACTGGGTCAGCCGGTGAGTAGTCCGCCAGAGAGGAAAAGCGGCTACAAATTGGCGCCCAACGTGGGGCCAGTGATCCAAACCTCTGTGTGTGTGCTGTGTGAGGGTGCCTGAGGGTATTCACTTTGGAGGAGACACTTCCCTCCGTCCGATACTCCCCAGGACGTTAATTGGTTGTGCGGGTGCAGTACGCATGTAATAATTTTACCCTCATTGTATTTTCAGCCTATCGTACCATCATCCCTGAGGCAAGGAAAATCAGTGAGACACCTAAATTCCAAATTTAACTCAAAATTCCTACTGCACATATTTCGGGTAAGTTTTGAAACATTTTCTGGCCTAAATTTTTTTTCTTTTTTTTTGAGTTAGCTACTTCTGTTAGTACCTTTGAGGTCCGTAGCGTGAAGTTGTGCATACGTGTATATTCAGTGTGTTTTTTATCCCAGTACTACTGGTGTAATTTACTTGAAACTTAACTTAACTTATAAAGTTTTATGTACCCTCCATTTTTTATATAACCTCTTGGCTTAAAATTAGAATAAAATAGTTTTGTGATATACATACCCTACTTAAAATTTATGTCGAAATAACTTTTATGATAATTAAACTTTGACAATTCATTGGATTACTATGTCAACATTCTAAAGATAATATAACTTGTCTTAAATTTTTTTGTCGAATTAACTTTTATAATAAAAAACTTTGTCATTTCATTGGATTACTGTGTTAATGTTCTAGAGATAGTATAACTTGTGTCTTGAATTGTGAAACAAGAATATCTTTGTCTTTAGTTGAATTTGCTTCTCAAGTTTTGAGAATTACTTAATGTTTTAATATTTTATTATAATATTTGTTAAAAATATTAGTGTGCTTTAACCTTCTCACACTTAATAGTGAAGAAGTATACTCAGTTTCTACTTTGAAATATTACTTGATATTTTAATATTTTATTGTAATATTTGTTAAAAATATTAGTGTGCTTTAGCTTTCTCACACTTAATAGTGAAGAAGTATACTCAGTTTCTACTTTGAAATATTACTTGATATTTTAATATTTTATTACAATATTTGTTAAAAATATTAGTGTGCTTTAGCTTTCTCACACTTAATAGTGAAGAAGTATACTCAGTTTCTACTTTGAAATATTACTTGATATTTTAATATTTTATTGTAATATTTGTTAAAAATATTAGTTTGCTTTAGCTTTCTCACACTTAATGGTGAAGAAATATACTCAGTAGCAATATTTTTTACTTTGAGATATTACTTGATGTTTTAATATTTTGTTATAATATTTTTTAAATATTAATTTACTTTAACCTTCTCACACTCTGTTATTAGTGAAGAAGTCTACTCAATATCATTATTTTTTACTTTTTTTGAACTGTAAAAGACATTAAGTCTGCATTACTGGTGTGTTAACTTGTTAAGATAATTTTTTTTGTATAATCGAATTTGAATTGTAAACCACCATGGCACATTTATGTATGTGCATTAACTACCTTAAAATTGATGAACTTATTAATGAACTGTCTTCCATGGGGATTTCAGCGAATCCTGAGGATACGGTTGTCGGATTGCGAAGTGAGATGCGTACTGCTTTGCGGCTTATCCGGCGTGGCCGCTTTAAGGCCATCGCCGCTGTTCCTGCCTTTGCCGCCTCTGACATGGTCTGTCAGCGGGCTTAAGGTCTTTGAACTGGAACAGGTTTTTTCTTCAGGTGACCCCGTTTCGTATTATAAATTGTCTTATTAGAGTTGGGGCTAGATACCTTCTAGATAGGTTAGCCGGTGTAGTTATAACTGACTAGACCTTCTCAGGACACCCCTTTGTGACCTGAGGGGTCCATTCACTACATTTCCTACATGGGAAATGTTCTTTCAATTGTGGTCTCGGACTACGTCAAAATTTTTCTTATTTGTGTCCTATGAGGATTGCTTCCGGCCTACTGTCGTGTTTGGGTCCCATATGGATGGCTTCAGGTTATGTCATGTGGTGTCCTATATGGATAATCACAGGCTTTGTAGTCGCGAGTCATAGTATAGAATGTTTTCCTAAACCACGGGGTTCGTAAAACCACTTATATGGATTTTGGCCCTGTTGAGGATATTCCCTGGGCACACTACGCAGGGAATACTTTGAGGGAGGGGGTGGTGTAACAGTTATTTTTTTTGTGCATTTGTGATACGTACGATATTGATAAAAGCGGCACCTGTGTGGCCGCATCGCTTTGTTGTTGATTTATCTAAAGTAGTTTGTAGCTACGGTATTGATCTCCTTTGTTCACTTTCGGACCACTAGATGGCGTTTGTTTGAGACATGATAGTTTAATTAAAAAGACTTACTTTTTAATCTGTTCTAGTAATCTGTCATGACAAATTGCATAGGTATTGGGAGTGTTCAGCTATGGTGGAAAGCAAGTTACGTTTGATTTTGTTAGCGTTGTTTTCTTTCTCAATTTAAATGTCAAAGTGAAATGATGAAGAGGGGTTAATTTCTGGAAGATTCCTGAACCGAGGATATATAAGTCCGGCTTTCTGCCACGGGAGACACTCTGCTATCTCGTGTCTTCCAACCTTAAATAGTGTTTTGATTGTCGTGTAATTTGAATTTCGTAATATGTAGTCTGTTATAATCTACCCACTAATGTGGTGAGTATTCTCTCAATTCTTCTTAAACCTATTTGTTTCTGGAACCTGTTTAATTTATATGAGTGCTAATCCATTCGTAGGGTCCCAGATTTCGGGGTCAAGACGGTCAGTCTTAGACGGTGTGCTTGCTCTTTTGTGGCCTTCTGGTACAGACTCAAGTTTCTCGGTACCCTCTGGCAAAGCTGGTGATTGCGCGGCTCACGACGCAAGCGGACAGCCGTACCCAAGAGTTACGTACTTAAACTTATAATTGTAATTTATTAAACTTTTATCCATATCCAATATAAATAGCCGACTCGGGCGGAAGAGGAAGTAACCTCCTGGAGGGACGACGAGGTGGCACCGAGCACCATCAGCTCGGCTCTAACGCGCACCGCTGCGGTTTTTTTTTCTTTTTCGTGTACCCACACTGTTTAATTAGTTTAATTTGATCTACTTTTTCTCTGAAATATACATGTATGTATAACTGAGGTGTAAGTTGTTTTCCTCTAAAGAGTCCCATAGGTTTCCCACACGCACACACTTCTATTCTCATACAAGGCGCCCTGAGGTAATCTCTTGAATCTCTCCACTGGGTCAGCCGGTGAGTAGTCCGCCAGAGAGGAAAAGCGGCTACAAAGCGCACAGAAGGTGAGCGCCAGCTATACAGGTGATGGTAAGCGGCACGGAAATTTGACTTCAATAAATATGTCTGTGACTAGGATTCCGATACTGGCTGAGACAGTTGGGGAGATGCTCTCAAATTAAGGTAATACGACAAACGGTATCTTTATTGTGGTAAATGAGGAAGCCTGTATCTTCTTTTAGTTAAAATTGGATTAAAAGGTACTAGTTCAGTCGACCCCAATCTGAAACATCCAAACTCAAACTCTCTTTTTTTCATAAAATTTTCAAAATTGTTTGAAATCGTTTTTTATGTAGACTCTAAAGCCATAGATCAACACACACAAAAGCAACAATCTCTGTTTTGTCAAATAGTAAGTAAATAAATTTAACAAAAATCAAACCCATACAAAATCTATGATATGCCTGTGCCGATCTACAACCGCCCGTTTCCAAGGGGTTGAGCCTTATGAGAAGAAAGGGCAAACAAACTCATGGCCACTCTTTTGCAATTCACAGATAGATACAATGGCACTATTAAATAAACCACAACATTGTTTTGATGTGTGCTAGTATATCCGTTATTAAGGACTAACAGGTAAAAATACAATTAAGACAAAACAAGATTAAGAAAAAAAACGAATACAAAAGAAAATGAAGTGAAACATAAAAAATAGAAAAAAAAATAAAAATAAAAAACACTAGCCACATCACATTTTTAGTTAAGAAAGAAATAGCCTGCGCTAATTAATCCCAAGCATTCTTGTCTTCCGTGTAATCCGCAATTGAGTGGTAGGCCCTCTGGCACAAGCCACGTTTTATTGCGGATTTAAATTTGTTAATACGTAACTTTTGAATATTATTTGGGATTTTATTATAAAATCGGACACATTGACCTCGAAAAGACTTGTTTATCTTTTGGAGCCTAGAGGCGGGTACTACAAGTTTATTTTTATTTCTGGTATTTAAAGCATGTACATTACTTTTTTTCAAAAAGCTATCTTTGTTTTTATGAACATATATTACATTTTCATAAATATATTTACTTGCCGCTGTCATTATATTTATTTCTTTAAATTTCTGCCTTAATGAACAACGATTGCTTAAATTATAAAATGCTCGAATCGCTCTCTTTTGCAGCACAAAAATAGTTTGAATGTGCGCAGCATTCCCCCACAGCAGAATACCGTACGACATTATGCTATGAAAATAACTGAAGTAAACGAGTCGTGCTGTATCAACTCTCGAATTTTCCTTACTGCATACGCACCTACGCTGCTGAGCTGAGTCTGAGCTGAATCCGCTGAGGAAGTTTCAATTTCCTACACAAGTTTGTTTTGACCATCGATGACGCCTTCCCTAGGAATTTTGGGGCGGCCGGTATAAAAGGTATTTCATGTACTAGACTCGGTGAAATGCAGCATGGAATTAACGACCGGTTGTCTGTGAGGCCGTGATAATGCACCGGTCGAGCTGGCTCGTTTTCGGCAAAGCAAGGCTCTCCCACACTAAGGTTTGGCATAGGGTTTCTGTCAAGTTTTCCTTCTCTTTGCAGTGCTGTTGTCCTTCGTAGTTTGTTCCCTTAGCCGGCTCTTACGACATCCACGGGGTGAATAGGGGGGAGGTGACACTTCGTATACTTAATCTGTTGCGACACGCACAAGAGCTAAGTATACAATAGTTAGGCTCTAGTGCTCAAAACTTCGATACTGTTTTGGCCTAGTTTAAAATCAGAATATAATAATGTAGCTGCTAGCAACAGCAGTGGTATTCATGACGACGTATCCATCTGTTTTCTGTTTACGACGTAGGTACATACATACTCTAATGCTCGTGAAGATATTTATAGAGTAGTACCTATATTTATTTTTTTAATCATAATCATCATTTATTTGCGGAAACATAGATTAGTTACAGGTCTTAGATTTTGTTAGAAGTGCACTATGTCCTACCACATATGTGGTGTACAAATAATTATACATACAGAAATACATAAATTAATGCAATTGAATACAGTTAAATTATCAAAATATGTCAATAGATATGCGCATTTATGCGCATTACAGTGCATTACTAAGACATGTCAGAGAATAGTTTTTTATTTGTCAAGCACATAGATTAAAATTGCCAAAAGTAGATTATAATTGTCAAGATAGTAACAATAAAAACAATGCTAATAATATGGTGTGTTACACTAATTATGTTAATTTACCATTTAAGTAATCTTCAATAGATTAGTATGCTTTATTTAATAGGAATTCTTTTAGTCTACTTTTAAATATCTGTATAGTCTCAGCAGATTGAATACATTTGTGCAACTTGTTGTAAATTTTTGGCACCATTACAAATATACTTTTTTTGGTGTAATGTCGTTTTGGCTGCAACTAATTGTAGCCTACCACGTCTGCGGCTACTTGTAATCGTCACAAATTTTGACTAGTTCCTTTTAACAAATAATGCTGTTTCATTTATGTACATGGATGGCATTGTTGGAACTTTTAGCTAGATAAAGTGAGGCTTACACGTATCAGTAGAACAAATGTTACAAATGGCCCTAATGCACCGTTTTTATGCCTTAAAAACTAAATCACGACCAGTTGCATTGCCCCAGAATATAATACCATATCTTAGCGTGGAAGCCACAAGTACATGATAAGCAGTAAGAATTGTACTAATGTTTACTGGTTTGTTTAGTTTGTGTAATGCATATGCATATTGGTTTATTTTATTACATATTTTCTCTATTTGTAGTTTCCACTGAAGGTTATTTTCAATTTGCAATCCTAAAAATTTCGATACTCTGGTCTCACTAATCCTATTATTATTATATTTAATGTCAATATTTATTGATTGGTTATCTCTTTGTCTAAAATTCACAATATTTGTCTTACTTATGTTAATCTTAAGGTTTTGGGTCTCAAGCCATCCTACTAGTGAGACAATATTTTCTTCAATGACTGAGTTTATAGTACTAATCTCATCATTATTAAACACAACCGTGCAATCATAACCATAGGGAATCTTGTGGCAGACGGAAAGTCATTTATATAAATAATGAATAGTAACGGGCCAAGTGTACTACCCTGTGGTACTCCGTAACGTATAGTTCTGGCATGTGATGTGTAAGACAGTCAGTTTTATTTTCATAGTATATTTTATTAATGATAGTAACCTGCTGGCGATTCCTGAGATACGATTCAAGCAAATCAGACAAATTTCCTCGAATACCATAAGCGTTTAATTTGTTAATAATTATCGTATGATCCACATAGTCAAATGCCCTAGTCAAGTCCATATAAAGAGCTTGAACCGGCAATCTTTTATCCATTCTGGTAATAATTGAACTTAAGAAGCCAGTTGGCGCTAACATACAAATTTATGTGGTTGCGATACCGGGAATCGAACCCGAGCCTCCTGGGTGAGAGCCAGGTATCTATAGGTTGCTGGATTAGATCCGGCTCGCATAAATATGTATGGAAGCGCCAACCGGCGGCGGCCATAGAATCCAAAAAAAAAAAGTGCGGTGTGCCTCGCGTCTGGAGCGTCAGTCTGTCTATTCCTTTTAGCTAGGGGCTTTATTACTGATAACTTCAAATTATTGGGAAATATATCCTGTGTTACACAATTATTAATTAGGTGGCTCATCACAGGAGCAATCTGTACTATGTATATTGTATGCTTTTATTGACTAAAATAAAATGATAATATTGTAATGGGATTACTTACCAAAGTTTTGCAGCTTAGTGACATCCGGCCTAACTCCATTTCCTGTCAGATTATAAAAGCCCGGTCCGTTAGTATAAGAAAGTGTCATATATGGTGCTTTGTTGGTATCTGTATTCCTAGAAATGCCGAGAATATCGTGACCCCGGTTTGAATAGCCATTAATGGACATAACGTGCGCGTGGTCAGCTGTGACCACGATGAGCGTGTCGTCTTGGGACAGCAGGCCGGCGGCACGCTTTACGGCCTCGCTCAACTGCACGGTCTCATCTAGCGCGAACTGGACGCGGTTGTCGTGGTGGCCGTGGTCGATGCGCCCGCCCTCCACGAATAGGAAGAAGCCTTTATTATTGCGTCTAAGAATTTTAATGGCAGTCTCTGTTAGCTCAGCAAGTGTCGGTTCCGTGGTTTTGTTCATAACCAAATTAAATTGCATATGGCTGGCCTCGAACAAGCCCAATAAGTATTGAGGTAAATCATTGTTAGTGGTTATTAACTGGTCCCGGTTCCAAATATACTTATACGTAGCGTTAAGTCTCGCCTTGGATTGTTGCCAATCTTCTATTAAATTTTGGCCGTCTTTTCGTATACCCCGAAAACCTTCTTCATCTATAACACATACTGGTAAAAAGTTGCGCCGGCCTCCTCCTAAAATTACCTGTAAGTATAAACAAGTAATGCAAAAACGAAGTATGACTATCGTATGGTCCCCTTCAGATAGAGATGCCAGCCAGCTAAAGGAGTATACAGCCACTTCAAAGCCAAGCATAGCAAACAGAGCTCTCATAAGGTGCACCAAAAACAAATAAAACACCATATAACACAGGGTTTGTTTAATAACCACTGGTGAGCTGTGTGCGAAATCGTATGGTGGGTCCGTCCTTCAGGCCAACCTACAATACTAGAGGTATTTTCGTTGTGTGTACGGGAAGATAGTAGTAGTTTGCCTGACTAAAACATCCTTATAAGCTACTTTCTTATCTTTGGGATCACCAATCTACATATGACAACCAAACCAGAGTTAGAATAAGGGACAATTAGTCCAGTGCATTTAGCTTTATGATTTGTATTTAATTTTAAAAGCGTAAACTAAAAGGTTTTCACATTGAGCCTTTCCTCTAATGTTTGATTTGTAAGAATTCTTAATTTAAAGAGACGTCATGTCTAGTGTAGCACTTATTTGGATAGTTATATTTATTTAACTTGAATGTCATAAAACTTCAGAAGACTACGATGTTAGTGAGCAACGATGTAGGGAAGTTGTGTGGTCTTACGGTACTGATGTCTACAGACTGCTGCTGCAGTCAGACAATAGGTATACGAGCTTTTACTATAATACTTTTAAATAATACTTTTAAATAGTAAATCATGAAAATGTGACCTAGTTTTTAAATTTTATTTATCTCCGCCAATTAGCTTCCCCGGTAGATCACGTTTTTTTAATGTGGCAGTATAACTTCTACGTGACATACGGAACCCTAAAAAATGCAGCAATTATCGTAGGACTAGGCAAGGGTATGCAATAAAACTTAAACATTGCTTTTGTAATATTAATTATGTCAATGGTGACCAGTTTTGCATGCACAAGTAGTGCGTATAGATAATAATAATAATAATAATAATAATAATAACATTCGATCCTTAGGGTTGGGTGCTCTAACCTTAAATTTATTGCCTGGATTCATGTGCACGAGTTGGTACGCAATGTCTGGGCAAGTGATGTTCTTGTGTCCGGCCTTTTTGACCGCCACGTCATTCTCCCATGCACGTTCCGGCACCTTGGCGTACATGCCAGACGGTGATGCATGCGTCACCCGGGCTGTAGTCACCAATCCTGTCGCCGAATGCGCTTTGTTATTCAATCAGATCGCAATTTCGCACAAAAGAGAACAACAATGTTTAAGAGACGTCTCTCACCAACATCACGCCCGTCTTCAAGCGCCCATTCTCCAATAGACTGAACTTGGTTTGCTGATACCCTTGCGGCCGCGCAGTCACCGCGATTCACGGCCGCGCTCACGCCGATACATCCTGAATTAGTTTTTACACCGCAGAGATAAGCAGTAGCCGTGCACGCGGAATCACCCACCTGACTGTTGGCGCAGTATGTCTGTAACACTTAATTTATGTACGCAGTGGCCGTAAAGCCGTTAGTAACCACTACTATTTGCATAAAAAGTGTGCAGCATAATATACTTAGTCTTGCCATAAATATTGTTACAATTAAAAACGGCGTGGGCCGTCTATGAAGCCCCGGTCGGAGCGAACTTTTCTTAGCACTAACGAACGATTAAATTAATGATTTTTTAAGATATTGGATGTTTTAATACGTCTGAAATAACTAATACGGCACGCTCAAGGCGAGCGTAATGAACCGTAGGCGAGGCGTCTCAAAATTAATTATTATAGGTTTAGGTAATGTAATGTGTAAAATGTGTGACGTACTGTTACACGTGCTGACCGAATATAGTTATCAAAAAAAAGATAGGAGATGACCTTTAATAAATTTATTAAAATAAATTGAAATTAGTACACTGATTTAGTATGAAAATTGAATCGGAACCGAGCGGCAAGGAGAACTGAGGTGCAGGTGTGGCTGAAATCATGGGAAGCTTTGAATATCATCACACATCATCATCACACATCAACAGCCTTTATTAGTCCACTGCTGGACATAGGCCTCTTCTTAGGAAGGAGGTTTTGGCCTACTATACCACGCTGGCCAGACGGGTTGGTATAGGGTTTGTTTCAAGTTTTCCTTCTCTCTGCAGTGCTGTTGTCCTGCGTAGTTTGCTTCCTTAGTCGTCTCTTACGACACCCACGGGATGAAAAGGACACCACACGGACAATGCTTTGAATATGCTGACTGGGATTAATGAAAGGACTAGGTAAGCAACAACATATTTACCGAAACAACTTACTGAGCCCTTTCCAATCAGGGTTCAGGACCGGGTATAGTACAACTTCCGCTCTGCTTAAAGTAACCGGTGATACAGGAGCAGGTATTGAGAAATCCTAAGTTATTGTGTTGGCTCTGGTTGATTTCTCAAGTGCATTTAACACCGTCAATCATATCCTTCTATCCATCCTTTCCTATCTCATGATTACGCTCGATACACTGGAATGGTTCTCGTCATATCTCCAGGGACGACAACACGTCGATGTTGCCTCCTCAAGTTGGCGTGAACTTGATATCCCTCAAGGTGGCATTCTCTCTCCTTTATTATTCTCAATATTTATCAATCTCATCACACCTAATCTTCAATGTGCGTACCATCTCTATGCCGATGACTTGCAGCTCTATTATCAAGCCTCGACAGACATTATAAACGAGGGTATTTTTATGGTTAACAATGACTTTGAGTCTATTAACGGTTGGGGTGAAGAAGGTTAGGTTTGGCTGTAAATTCAGCGAAGTGCCAATCCTTCATCATACGTGTGACAGGCAGTCAACGTGTGACCGGAAGAATATACCAAGATAAATGGCCACCCATTACTTTTAATGGCGTTATAATTCCCTTCAGGCCGTTAGCCAGAGAGTTACAGGTATGCTACGGGCCTTCTATCGACCTAGGAACTTCCTTCCTCCCTACACAAAAGCGATGCTAGTACAGGCTCTAATTGTCCCAATCTTGGATTATGGTGATGTATGCTACTATGACCTGAATGCAGAACTCCTCAATAAATTTGACCGCCTTCTAAATAACTGCATTCGATTCGTCTTTAACCTTCGCAAATACGACCATGTTACCTCCTTTCGTCGTGAATTGAACTGGCTCACGATTCGCCAGTGCCGTCATCTGCATGCCCTCATTACCCTCTATTCCATTCTCAACTCACTCATTTCCTCTTCCTACCTTACATCCTCATTCCAATTTCTATGTTCTAATCACACCAGAACCCTCCGTTCCTCAAGCAATCCACTCCTGTTATGTCCCATTCATACTTCCGCGTGTGTCCACTCTTCGTTTCTAATCCAATATGTACTCCTTTGGAATTCTCTACCTCTCGAAATCAGGATAGCACCCAGCCGCCTCTCATTTAAGTCGGAAGATTCATCACAAATATAAAGTTTTATATATTGTTTGTGTATATTATCTATATGTATGCATGTAACTCAACCATTATATGTGTATGTGTATTTTAGTTTGTACTAGCTGAGACCCGCAGTGTTACCTGCGTTTGTTTTTATAACCGCGGGCAACGACGAGAGGCGAAGCTAGTCTAAAAAAGTAGCCTAAGTTACTCCTTATGTTATCAGCTATCTGCCAGTGAAAGTCCCGTCGAAATCGGTCCAGCCGTTCCAGAGATTACCCGGAACAAACAGACAGACAGACAGACAAAAATTAAAAAAAATGATATTTTGGCATATGTACCGTGTAAACATACACATACATTTAGTAAAAAGCGGTTATTTTAATATTACGAACAGACACTCATATTTTATTAATTGTATAGAAGATATCTGCCCCACTGTCTATGTCCATATCCTTAATTCAGTATAATTATTATCTTTTTAAAACAAAACTTAATTTCTAGTGCACCTACTCAGACATTTCCCCACCACCCAAAAGGTTGACTGGGAGAAAATTCCTGTGGCATTAAGTCCGCCATTGTACAAGTGAGTTGTAATTTGTGCATAAAGAATAAAAATAAATGAAAAATCATTATTGGACTATTGATAGGGACAATGAAACCTCCTCAGTTTGTGACAGAAAAAGATCTGGCCGTTCATATAGTGTCCCTACGAAAAAGGCGATCAAAGCAGTGAACGAAAGAATTCGAAGACATCCTGTCCAAAACTATAAGATTTCATCTCGGGTAATGAATATAGCACCTAGAACCATGTCGCGTATTTTAAAACCAAGAAGTCACAGTCTATAAGTGACTCACTGGTCATTATTTCTTATTGTTAGACCTTAACTTAATCCGCTGCATTACGATTTAACGTTTAAATTACTGTATTCAGGCCAATAGAGCTCCCCAAGGCCATGGTGGCCCGGAAGAAGGTGGCGGTCCAGTCCGGGGCGCTGGGAGGAGCCGAAGATGGGGGTCTGGGACGGAGAAGACAGGAGGGGGTCGCGTCCGAGATGTCGACCACTGATGTGGGGAGCAGGGGTGGGGGTGCTGGCCTCAATGAGCTGCGAGGCAAAACGGGCAACCCCGTCGACCGGATCGAGGAGGCAATCAGCGCGGCCGATTGCTTGCTTCAAACGTCCGGTGTGGCCGGGGGCCCCCAACAGGAGGCCCTGGTAGCGGTCGTGCGCTCCATAATCGAGGCGGGCAGACTCCTTGTGGCCGAGAGCAGGGCCCACGCTAGGGAGAGAGCCCGCCTCAAGGCGGATCTCGCCAAGGCTCGTGCCCACGCTGGTGCCACACCAGCGCCTTCGGCACCGTTGGCGCTGTCCGCCCCGGAGCCGGAGCCGGGCTTGGTCCGACTCATGGCGGAGATGGAGGAGCGGATAATGAGGCGCATCTCCGCAATAGAGAGCGCCCGTTGTCGCCCACCTCTGGCTCCGCCAAAGGCGACATATGCGGCCGCTGCCAAGGTGGGCCTAACAGCCCAGCCAGCAACTAGGGTGGCTGGGCCGTCATCAGCGCCCCCGCCCCAGAAGACCGGAAAGGGCAAAGGGAGGGGGAAGGTGGCCCCCCTCCAAGCCCCAGTCTCGGCCCCGGCTGACACCGCACAGCGCCCGTTGGAACGGGGCTATACGGTAGCCGGGGAGAGTAAGAAGAGGCGGAAGGCCGCCAAAAAAGCGGCCAAGAAGGCGACGGAGGGACGCCGCCGCCGCTGCGAAGGGAGCGCCGAGGAAGCTCCGCGCCCCTCGCTCCTCGGCCGTCGTTATCACTTTGACGGCGGAGGCAGCGGAGAGGGGCGTGGGGTACGCCGAGGTCTTGACGAAAGTCAAGGCCAACGTGGACCTCAAAGCCCTCGAGATTCCGGGCGTCCGGTGTAAAAACACACGGACGGGAGCCCGGCTCCTCGAGGTCGCCGGCGCTACCAGTGGCCCCAAAGCCGACGCCCTAGCGGCTAAGCTGAGGGAGTCACTGGATGCAGCTGACGTCCGAGTGTCCAGACCCACTAAATGCTCAGAAGTTCGCATTACGGGCCTGGACGACTCTGTCACGGCGGACGAGCTCAGACTCGCCGTGGCGGAGACGGGAAGCTGCCCTCTGGACAGCGTGAAGGCCGGAGCAATACGCTTCGGTCCCGGTGGACAGGGGGCAGCGGTTGTCAGCTGCCCCATCGCGGCGGCCCAGAAGGTCGCCGATGGACGGAGCCTCCTGGTCGGAGGTTTCCTGAGGGCGCAGGCACGACTCCTGCAGGCCCGACCGGCAAGGTGCTTCAGGTGCCTGTCGGTGGGTCACGTAGGGGTGCACTGCACGGCGGAGGCCACCGTAGGTGACCGATGCTTCCGCTGTGGCCAGCCCGGTCACAAGGCGGGTGGCTGCAACGCTCCGCTGCGTTGCTTTAGGTGCGCAGCGGGGGGCAAGCCTGCCGACCACCGGGTTGGTGGTAAGGCCTGTGCCCTATCGCGACCGAAGCCGGGAGGCCGACCTGCCGCCTCCGAGCCGCTGATCCAGACGGAGAGTGCCGCTGGACAGCCGCAAAGTTCGCTGCGGGATGCGGGGATGGAAGTCCAGTGATGGATCCACATCTCCGCATCCTCCAGGTGAACGTAGGCCACGGTGCCGATGCTCAGGATCATCTGCTCCAGAGCATGGCACAGTGGTCCATCAACATCGCCGCTATCGCCGAGCCATATGTCCATCGGTTTCTCGGGCCTGCCTGGGAGACCGACTTGGACGGCACGGCGGCCCTGGTGCACGGTACCGCAGCCGGCACTCCACCTCTTGCAGTAGTTGCAAGGGGACGGGGCTGTGTAGCGGCGATAGTTGGAGATATAGCGGTCGTGGCCGCTTATTTCACGCCGAACCGAAACCTAACTGAGTACGAGCAATGGCTCGCTCAGCTGGCCGTCGTCGTCGATGCCTGTCGCCCCCACCCGGTTCTTGTGCTGGGGGACTTCAACGCCTGGTCGCAGGCTTGGGGTTCCCTGCGCACGAACCCGAGGGGCAGGGCATTGGAGAACTGGGCTGAAAGATTCGGCCTAGTTCTCCTAAACCGGGGGGCCGTGGCCACGTTCGTGACGGCGAGGGGTAGTTCGATCGTGGACATCTCGTTCGCATGCCCCTCGCTAGCGCGTCGTGTCCAAGGCTGGCGCATCGTTGTCGGGGAGGAGACAGGTTCGGATCACCGATATATTCGGTTTGACGTCTCCGCCCCTGCAGATGGCGCGCCGGTCAGACCGGCACCACCTGAACCACGTTGGGCGCTCAAGCGCTTAGATCGCGACCTCCTCCTGGAAGCCGCCATCGTACAGGCCTGGGCTCCTGCGCCGGACAGGCCTGTCGACGTCGATGCTGAAGCACAGTGGTTCCGGGAGGCCATGACCCGCGTCTGCGATGCGGCTATCTAGGGCTCAGCCCAATACTGCAAGGCGCCAGGTCTACTGGTGGTCGCCGGAGATCGCACGGCTGCGTCAAGCCTGCGTGACCGCGCGCCGCCAGTGGTCCAGGTTCCGCAGGAGGCGTCGCCGCCCCGAAGATGCGGCAGCGAGAGAGGCGGAGCTGTTAGCGGGTTACAGGGTTGCCAAGAGGACCCTTCAGGCAGCGATAAAGCGGGCCAAGAGCGAGGCCCGCCGCGAGATGCTGGAGACACTGGAGCGGGATCCGTGGGGACGCCCCTACCGTATGGTTAGGGGCAAGATGCGCCCATGGGCCTCGCCGCTCACACGGTGTCTTCAGCCAGAGCTGCTTGAGAGGGTCGTTGGCTCCCTGTTCCCAACGCTAGTGGTGGAGCATACTCCGCCACAGATGGCTCCGCCTCCGGCGCTTGAGGCGCCTAACGTGGATGACGACGACGTGCCTGAGGTAACTGGGGTGGAACTAAGGGTGGCGGTGTTACGGCTTAAAGCCAAAAACACCGCCCCGGGACCCGATGGCATTCCTGGCCGAGCGTGGGTCCTGGCCTTAGTCGACGAGGCTCTCGAGCCCCGACTGCGAGGGTTCTTCAGCGCATGCCTCGAGCGGGGCCAGTTTCCGAAATTGTGGAGGACGGGGAAACTGGTCCTCATCCGAAAGGAGGGGCGCCCGGCGGACTCACCGTCCGCCTGCCGGCCCATAGTGTTGCTTGACGAGGTGTGCAAGCTCTTTGAAAGAGTGATTGCAAGGCGCCTTGTCAAGCATCTCGTGATGGTTGGGCCGGATCTGGCGGACAACCAGTACGGTTTCCGTCAGGGGCGCTCCACCGTGGATGCGATCATGCGCGTGAAGGCTCTGGCGGAGGAAGCAGTCTCCCGGGGCGAAGTGGTGTTGGCGGTGTCCTTGGACATCGCCAACGCGTTCAACACTATGCCCTGGAGCTGCATCAGGGAGGCGCTCGTGTATCACGAAGTGCCTCTCTACCTCCGCCGCATAGTCGGGGCATATTTGTCGGAGAGAGCCGTCGTCTACCCCAGTAGGACCGGTCTCGGTAGGCGTGAAATGTCGTGCGGTGTTCCGCAGGGGTCGGTGTTAGGGCCACTCTTGTGAAACATCGGCTACGACTGGGTGCTTCGTGGTGCCTTCTTGGATGGTGTCGCCGTCGTGTGCTACGCGGACGACACACTCGTGACGGCGCGCGGCAAGACGCACCAAGAGGCAACCCTGAGGGCCACGGCCGGGGTTGCCCAAGTCGTTGAGCGTATCCGGCGGCTGGGTCTCGAGGTGGCTCTGCACAAGTCCGAGGCCCTGTTCTTCCACGGGCTTCGGAGGAAGCCGCCTGAGGGATCTAGCCTCACGGTAGGAGGCACTCGCATCGGCATCGAGCCCTCGATCAGGTATCTGGGGCTTGTACTCGATGGCCGATGGGACTTCGGATATCATTTCCGAGGTCTGGTCCCCAAGTTGGTTGGGGCAGCGCGTGCAGCGACTCCTGCAGGAGACTCTACTCGGGGGTTGTGCGGTCCATGGCCCTTTACGGGTGCCCGGTATGGGCGGGGGCCCTGAAGGCCAGCAACGTCGCGATACTGCGACGACCGCAGCGAATGCTGGCCATCAGGATCATAAGGGGGTACCGCACGATCTCCTTTGAGGCGGCGAGTCTCCTGGCCGGAACTCCACCGTGGGACCTGGAGGCGAGAGCCCTTGCGGCACTGTATCAGTGGCGCAAGGAGGCGCAGGAGTTGGGTCGATGCCCCGAGATTCGAGAAATCGATGACCGGTAATCCCAACTCCGCCAGGTCATCATAGGGGAGTGGAGGGAACGACTCGGGCAACCGAGCGCTGGACACGCCGTCATTGCGGCGATAAGATCCGTTATGGAGGATTGGCTCGAGAGGCGTCACGGGACCCTCTCATACCGATTGACGCAGGTGATCACTGGGAAGGGATGTTTCGGTGATCACCTGTGTCTGATCCGCAAGGAGCCAACGCCTGAGTGCCACCACTGCGATGGCCAGACCGTGGACACGGCTCTCCACACGCTGGCAGAGTGCCCGGCGTGGGTTGAGCAGAGGCGAGACCTCGTGGCGGCCATCGGAGTGGGAGTTCTCTCGCTCGATAGCCTGATTGCGGCTATCGTGCGGAGCGAGAGTGCGTGGAACTCTGCCGTCTCCTTCTGCGAGCAAGTTATGCTCGCGAAGAAGACGGCGGAGCGGGACCGGGAGAGGTTTAGAACTCTCCCGGCCCGCCAGGCCCGGGCACGGGCCAGGCAGCGCAGGCGACTCAGGCGCCGGAGGTCGCAGAACGACCTCCGTCCTCCATAAGCGCAGGCCTGGGGGTGACAGGTGAGGCCATCTGTCACCCTAGCAGAAGCAGGCCGGGGTGGCGGCGAGCGCGTTGCGAAGCGCGCTCGCTTCCAGGGAGCACAGGGAACATGGGGTTCCCACACGGGGCGGGGGTCGTCTACTCGTCTGTAGATGACCCGACGTATGTCGGGGCACCAGGGCCTTCCTTTCTAGGGTATACCTGGTTCCCCGGCTATTAGTACCCGGCTATTAGTAGGCGAAGGCGTGCGGTTTTAGTCGGTTCGAGTCCGACATGCCACCGACAGGTGGTATCCGAGGGGATTTACGCACGGAAAAAAAAAAAAAAAAAGGCCAATAGAGCTTATTTTGAATGATAAAAACTAACATGTATGTATAAACTAACACACATAACAGTAATAAATGTTTTATGAAATAGAAAAAAAAGGTTTTTCCTTGTAACAATATCTATGGCAAGAGTATGTATAGATAAAAGCGTCCCTCAATATAACCTATGTGTTAAGTTAACTTAAGTTAATCCTAAGACAGAGGGACAGCCGTGTTAGAAATCTGTTCTTGTAAATGAATTAAATAAGTACTTTTAGTAAGCCTGTGGTTGGAAAAGACTCGAAGAACAGCTCGGTCTCCTCCCCGGTGGCGCCTCTCTGCTGGCCGGAGTAGATGCGCGCTGCAGCGAGTGTCGGCACGGACATGCCGTCACCTAGAAACAAGATCACATTACGCGCTTCACCGCGGGGTTCAGCTAGCGTCGAGCGCGCTTTGATGGCTTGCTCCGCTTGTTGGGCCCAGTACTGGGGTTTCAGCTCTTCTGCGTTGGGTACGGTGGCGGAACGCAACGCTGGATTCACGGGGTGGTAACGATCAGCGAGCGTTCCGCTGACTTCGAGCACAGCCATTACTACCGCAACAATGCAACATGTGGAACCCTGTTGCCTACGTATGTTTTTATATTCTCTTTTGTTACACGAGATCAAACTAGACATTTTGTAACAGTAGACACAATAGGTAAAAAGGTGTTCATATTCCGATATTATCTCTCAAAGGGTAGTCAGCTTTCAAAGAGTCTTTCGATGTAAGAGAGCAACAAGAAACGAACAGCACGCACAACAAATTCTGTGTCAACTGACATAATATTTAACGGCTTCCCTCGGCCTACTCGATCCTTGCATCCTTTTTTAGCTGTAACAGTTGTACAAGCCCTATTTGCTAGTAAACTCTTTGTAGTATTATTGTTAATTGTGTATAGCGATGCTGTTATTTGATATAGTTTTTATTAGACCCGTAATTTATCTCCTCACCATGTAGTGTCAACCAAGTATAGAAGCATCAAGTATAAACCAAATGTAGAATGATAAAAATGTATGCTTGTTGGTCTAGTGATTGTGTTCCTGACTGCTAAGTTAAAGGTTGTGGGTTTAATTCCCAGCCAGGACAAATGATTGAGATTGCGAGATCTTTTTTCTGTGTCTGGGTATACTTAACAATAATATGTATGTATTGAGAATATAAGTATGTTTATCAGGAGTCCGGTTTCCATAGTACAGGCTCAGTCTAATTTAGGGATCACACGGCCGTGTGTGAGCTGTGTTAAGTTGTTATTATTATTATATTAAGACTTTCGCGTCCACTGCGGTAGACCTAGCGTATCTGTATATTTACCTATACACCGTGAAATTGTAGTTGCCGTCCATATTAACACAGAAGAATCTTTAGTAAAATTTATGAGAAACCCGCATTTGAGTTTAGTATCACATGCTACAAAAATATTGAATAATTAGCATCACAAAGTTGTCTTAAGAACTCGCAGTTTTGTAGCCACACTGCAATCGGTAGCCTTGCAAGTGTCAATGACCTATCCATCGGTATCGCATACTTCGCTACATTTCATTGACAGAGGTTAACTTACCACAACTGTTTTACATGTATTTTAATAAATGTTCAAAATGTAGTCAGAAGACTAGATGTTTCTACATCTAGTCTTCAAGTAAGTAAGTCGTCATCTAGTAAAAACAAAGGATGCACCGACGCGGCCGAATGACCTATAAATTATTTAATTGTTTGATTTGTGCCTGCTGGCGGCCGGGTTTCGCACACGGAAATGGGCCACAGCTTACGGAAATATTAGAACTACGGTTACATACTCAACTAAACTCAACTCAAAATTTACTTAAAACAAATATTTATTATTTGAAATCGACTCTAAAGTCATAGATCAACATACAATACAAAAAAGAAAGTGAAGTAAAACGTTAAAAAATAGAATATTAAATAACAGACATGCTAGCCCATATCACATTTCCACTACGAAATAGCCTGTGTTAAATTAATCCAGAGCATTCTTGTCTTCTATGTAACCCACAATTGAGTAATAGGTGTCCAAATGGAACGCACCCATAGTGACTGTCATCAAATATGACGTTTACTCCTTCCCTCTTTTTTTTCTACGCGCGTCTGTTAAGTGTGCTCACTGCTGTGCTTCAAATAAACTTTTACAATTTACTGTAGTTTTCTTAACTCTTACTTAAATGATTAATCAACAATAGAGGGGATCTAGTGCTCGGCAGCTGCTATCTCGGCACGATTTCTTCGCGGGCACGCCTTTGCGCGTTATTGTTCCACGTGGACGTCAAACAATGAATGTAATAACAATAAATAATAAACATCATTTTTATATTGTATATTATATTATTGAAATAAATTTATTTTAATATCTAGCTAGTTTAATGTTCTTAAAGATACAAAACCTTATACTATCACAACTTACTATCACATTTTTAAGGAAAGAAGTTAAACAAATAATTTTATACAAGAAAAAGTATCAAACTTGTTTTGTTACAGATCATGGGTCCGACCGAGTCGTCGCCGTGTGTAAATACCTAAATTTGTGAAGTGCAATTTTGTGCCATAGCTCTTAACAAAACTATAAGCAATAAATTCTACGTTTGGCGGACAGACCATGTCGCAACTACGGCGGTCAAAAGAGCGAGCACGAGCGGTGAGTGACCGATGTGGGCGGCGCCATTACACGCGTGCTGGCCAGGGCCGATACACGCTGCGTATGCCATGCGGTGCGGGATATGGGACTGCTCGTACGCTCCCACGAACAGGGAGTGGTGAGATCCCCACGCAAATACGGCCACGTCATCTCCTCCGTGTGTTTCGGAGTCCAAAGGCACGTCTACATGCGAACGCCACCTCAATGTGTCTAATAAAAAATGCAAGTTTTTAAAATAAATGCCGGTAATGTACATACATAGTATAATAGAAAGGTACTTACTGAAGGTGGGTTCTGCGGTGACGTCAGGTCGGGTTCTGTTTACATGGGGACGAAAACCTGGTCCGTTAGTATATGACAGTGTCATGTATGGTACATCGTCTTCGTCGACATCATTCGAGGGACCTAGGATATCGTGGCCACGAGGAGAGTACCCGTTGAAGGCCATGACGTGCGCGTGGTCCGCGGTCACTACTACCAGTGAGTCCTCTTCGGATAACATCTTTATAGCTACAGAAACGGCCTTTTCCATCTCCAAAGTCTCATCGAGCGCCAAATGCGCATAGTTGTCGTGATGAGCGTGGTCGATGCGACCACCCTCGACAAACAGGAAAAATCCCTTCTCATTGCGACTCAACATTTTGATGGCAGTCTCCGTAAGTTCCGCAAGTGTTGGTTCGGTCTCATTATTTGCCTCAAGGTTATACATTAGGTGGCTGCTCTCGAATAGGCCTAACAAGTACTCGGGCAAGTTGTTACTGATATTTAGAAGTTCTTCACGATTCCAGATAAAGTTGTGAGAGACCTCGCGATCCACTTTGTCCTGTACCCACTCTTCTATCAGATTACGTCCATCCGTCCGACGGCCTGCTACTCCTTCCTGGTCAGTCACATTTGTAGGCAAAAACACACGCCTGCCGCCACCTAAAATTACCTAAAACAAAATATTTAAAACATTTTGATGTAGTGTACGAAAATGTTATTAGTTTTTTTAATTCCTTACCCGTATTACCACGTATCACGTATCACCATCGTTTACGTTTCGACTAAAATCTGGTGGCAGTTTAGCGTTTGCTTAAAATGCTTGTTCCATATAAGAATCAGATTACAAATTACAAGATGTTAAGGTGTATTTTAGGTATGTAAATCTAATGCAACCATGTTAAGACTACAAATATTATTCTAAGTTTGATACTCGTTTAGATGGTGTTGGCTATATGGCGGATACGGTGTCAACAAGATACTTCACCAGCAGTACGAATGTAACAGACAGTTCTACGCGCAATGACACCAAGTGTGTGTAACATTTCGTGAAATGTTATAATTTTAAGTTTGCTAAGTTACCATAAATACGAAGTATTTAGTATAGGTACATTGATTATCACGCATTTCTATGCTGCTAAAAAGTAGTACACCACCATCCTTCCGAATGGTGACAATGGTTAACACAAAATATGTCACATATCCACGGCGATTTTTAGATAAATTTAGTGTTGAACACCTCCTATATTCTCGCCTTACCTTACATAACTTATTGTGCTTTTACTTTTTGTTACTTACAGAACTTGTTCTTTCTGTGTTAGAAAGCACAAGTTCTGCTTTTAATGAATTGAGGCATATGTAGGAACATTTAGAGTTGTGAGTGTACTCGTACAAACCTTGAATCGATTCCCAGGGTGCATGTGTATGAGCTGATGCGCTATGTCGGGGCACGCGGTGGTGTTGTAGTTGGCCGCCTCCACGTCCGCGTCGGTCTCCCAATTGCGGTCCGCGCTCTTGGCGAAGGTGCCCGCCGGGGAGGCGTGCGTCACGCGGGTTGTCGTCACGATACCTACACCGGTTACACACTCTTGTTATACTACTACTCGATACACAACACACTTATATCATTTTTCACTCAAAATTAACAATATGAAATAAATATTGTTGCATGTACAGCATGATATGGTCATGGCTTTCTCTCTAGTATCCTTAAATCATCTGCTTTAAGATGGAAAGAAAAGAAAAAAGATTTATTTTGGCACACAATCACACACACAAGCACTATTTTTTTTATTTTAAACCCAAAAAATGAACAATTGTGTTCTGACCGGCATCTCGCCCGTCCGCAAGCGCCCATTCAGCGATAGACTCCACTTGGTTGGCTGTATTCCTGCCTCCGAGGCAGTCGCGACGCGGCACAGCAGCGTTTATGCCCAACATGCCATGGTTCGTTTTGACCCCACACAGGTATGAAGTGGCTGTGCATGCGGAGTCTGGGATTTGGCTGTTGACGCAGTATGTCTGCAATAAGGAGAACGCCGGTTAAGCTTGCATCGATATTTCACTTAGGGTCACACTGATTACGTTAATAAGGTCTTTGACAACCTGATTGTTGTTGACAACCTCAATGTTAAGATTCGTTAACGATAAAGAAAAACAGAGGTCAGAAAAAGGCAACGAAATTTCTTAGGAACCAATATACCTTTAACTGAAAATGACAGATTAAACAAGTCGCAAAATAATAATAAATATTCTGGTTTTGTAGCTAAAATTACTATATTACTACTACTATTAGAATGATGATAGGTGGTAGTACATAGGTTTTGAGGCATCGATACATCTGATCACAACTATTAAAATACGAAATAAAAAATGCTTCAGTAGAAGTCATAAATATTTATTACGTACCACAATAAATCATAATCATCATCATCAACAGCCTTTATTAGTCCACTGGTAGACATACTTGTAGACCTCTAGTTCAAAACGAGGTTTTGGCCTGCACTATACTACAAGGCGGGTTGGCATAGAGATTATGTCAAGTTTTGTTCCTCTTTGCAGTGCTAATGTGGTGCGTAGTTATCTCCAATGTACGGTTCTAACGACATATAAGGAAAGAATAGGGGTGGTGAAACATTGTGGTCTTAATCCGCTATGATACGGATACCACAGTCAGCAACTAAACTACTTCAACTAGCTTTGTATCTGGAAAAGTTAAAAGATTTCATACAAATCTTAAAAAAATCCGTATTGAGTTGTTACCAACAGTAAAGGGCGCGTGACCCAACATGCACAAGCGAGTGTAGCTTCTATCTATTATTAGGCGTTAAATAATATTAATTATCATGGAACGCGAAAGTTTAAAAGTTAGTATTATTAGGCTGTTCGTATTTTAACACCTCTTCACCAGTATGTATGTATGTAACGGATCTTGGTATTCGATTTTTACTCACTTCAAACGTAATTAATTGCAACCTTGTCGAGGACCGATGACAATACAATAAAACTGAAAAATCGGTTAGAAACAATGTCTTCCATCACAAGTAAAGAATGAAATCGAAAAGCCGTTATGTGATTTTGCGTTAAAAATATTTTGTAATTTAACTTATATTAGTAGAAGTATTTTATGAATTTAGAGAGTACGATTAAGTTGGTTTTTCGAATTTAAAAACAGCCTCTAAGCTTCAGCTTCTAAAAACAAAAAGCTTTTAAAATACATTTTTTTACGGAACCCTCGCACACGCCTCGAACTTCGAACCCAGACAGGCACTTGTCCGGTTTTATACAAGTTATTAATAATCATATACGTATTAAGTCTACAACACACGTACATTACGTACGTTATACTTAAAAAGCAAAAACAAACATTTAACTGTCACTGATAAGCAAAAAATAAGTGAGTAACATTTAAATTAAAAAGACTACAATACCCGTGACACTTTCAATATAAAAGGTAACATTACTAGGTACTAGGTGTATTCTGCTCCGATTCAAAGTAAGGCCAAGCCCGAAAAGCTATAAGTAAAATTTTCTTTTTTAATTATTATTAAAGATCAACCGCCGTCATTAAGTATTTTTATCATTTTTTTTATGTTTACTTTTCCATCTGATGCGTTAAGATTAAGTATAATTCTGTTCACACTTTGTAATGTGAAATAACCGATGTGTACAATTATACATCATAGAATCGACATTCTCTTGACCAGCTGTACAGACCAGAACCCCTATGGCACATTTAATTAGATATAACGACACGTTACACGATCATGACATAGGCGCGCCTTCAACATGAGGTTGCGAACACACTGCTGTCTGTCAAAACGCCAACGTTTGGCAGTAAACTACACAACATCAACAAAATGTACTAAATATTAGATACCACTCACCTTCACCAAGCCGGTTGAGGGAAAGGTCTCGAAAGACATCTGCGACTCCTCACCGGTGGCATGTTTTCGCTGTCCGAACAGAATACGAGCGGCAGTGATGGTCGGTATGGACATGCCGTCACCCAGGAACATAACGACGTTGCGCGCCTTGTTTGTCGGAACAGTGCGTTGGCTGTTCTCTGTGATAGCTGCTTGCGCATGGTTCACCCAGAACATGGGGTCGGTCTCTGCAAGGTTGGCGGCGGCGGCGCGTCCCGCCCGGTCCGCAGGGTGGTAGCGGTCGGCGCGCACCATCAGCGCGGCCGCTGCTATTAGCAATGCTGCTTGCGTCCTCATGTCGAATCGAGCGTCTGGACTGTCGGACTCGTTCAGAGCGCTTTTATCTTTTGTCCAATATCTTATCTTGAATAATAAAAGTGTATTAATAGTATTTAAATCAGTATCGCGGCAGATTAACTAAAGTAAGTGGCATAAAGTTGCCCAAGAACCCTACCGTTGATTATTACATTTTTTTATGGCAACGGGTGCAAACGAGCAGACGGCCATGGACACCTGCAGCACAAGAGACACAAGTACGTTGCCTGCAGTCACGTGACTCACTCGATTAAAAGCGACGGAAGAAGAGTAACACCGGTTATTAGTGAGGCCGTGGCATCACTCTGATTGAACTGGCCTATATGGACCTCTCATCAAACACAATGAAATTAAGTTTTGTATGCCCTTTCACAACACCATGTCATTTGACTCGTACAAAGCAAGCTCTTTGTAGATTTTACCACACTATTTTTTTGAACGTGTGGAAGCCCCATTCGAGCGCATTAAGTCCGCCGGGGTTTAGCGGTGGGGCGGATGGAACCCAATGGTGTGCCACTCTGCACCTTAAACAACAGGGATTTAGGAACAGCTTCTATTAAGACATCCAAACGCCTGCCGCCGCTTACCCGAAGCAATCACCAGGCTTTAGGCCACTCGCGTATCTCTTCCGAAACTCAGCCGATCACAGATACACTTCGGCGGGAACTTGCTTTTCCAAAATCTCACGAGCCGCTTTGAGCCTAAAACAACCAACTGGTAAAATAAAGAAACCATTTCAGGCGCTCTTTTATTCAAAATTGTTATTTTTTTATTGGTTCACAATACTGGACTATTTCCCAACACATAAAAATAGTTCTTTAGAGATACACGAAAATGAACATCGAGAAGGACTTTTATTTTCATGGAAGCAGCAGATGGGTAATTACAATAACGTAATTATGTAATAAATAATAATATAATTTAAGTTAAAAAAAATTATACTAAAATTAGCTAGATGAGGTTGCCAATTTCGTTTCAGAAATGTTTTTTTTATGTAGTAGGAGTCGCACTGAAAACATCGAGGTCGTTACAAATTCGGTTATATGAGAAGATCATTCAATACAATGGTGAGTGGCACCACTCGCTATTGTATTGACAATGGGCACGTAATTGGTGCTGCAGAAATGAAGATTGAATGTTTTTCTGATGTGTAGGCTGCTGCTGGAGCGGGGCATCAGCATGTTACATTTTGCGAGCAAGTCAGGACAGTCGACTTTAACATTAACTTTTGAGATCATTTGATGTAAGGATTGCTGCAGAGATTATTTACGTATGCTAAATGAGACAGATAAAGTTTTGCGGTCTTTCTGTTCAGTTGATATGTACTGTATATGAAAGGTTTAGATTGCTAAATATTTGACAAAACAGAGATTGTTGTTATTGTGTGTTGACTTTAGAGTCTACACAAAAAAAAATTGAAATAATTTGCTTTATTTTATGAAATAAAGATATTTTGAGTTTGAGTTTGAAGAACTCCAGATCTGGCAACAGTATTTCAGGAGAGAACGGGTGTAGCTATGAAACAGTATAATTGGGATTTCAAAATAATTAAAAAAAATTGGTTTGTCGAATCACAAAGCCAGTCAATCGTGCCGCCTTGCCACAAATAGTATCCATGTACTTACGATTTTCTGTCCACCATGGGCGTTCTTCGCGTTAAATTGTTTCTCGTCAGGTATATGGCTACTGTTAGATCTTAGTGATTTTTCAATAGTCCGGGTCCGGGACTTGTTAATATTTTCCTTTTGCTATAAACTTATTAAGACATTCTCGCAACAACTGGTCACATTTATTATTTGTTTGATACGTTGGCAGGTCTCTAGGGTTTTCGTACTTTTAAAATCGAGAATGCAACTTCGATTTCTCCTTTAACCATTTGAAAAAGGGGCGATTGAACCAGATGGGATAATTATATTAGGTCTTTACCTATGAAATTGCCGTTTTGTATGCAATAAGTGAAAGTACTTATTTTTTCAAACTTTTTTATTTCTGTTATTCGAAGTAATCACCCATGCAATCGACGCATCTTTGCCAACGCATTGGCAGTTTATTGATGCCCTTCTGGTAAAAATCAGCTCGACGGGAGGCAACAAACTCTTCAAAGGCATTTTGTACTGCCTCTCGGGAATTGAATTTTTTACCCACTAAAAAGTTGTCTAAATTTTGGAAAGTCGGTAGGTGCAAGGTCTGGTGAGTATGGCGGATGAGGGAGAGCATCCAACCCCAGCTCTTGCAGCTTGGAGACTGTCTGTTGCGCAGTATGGGGTACCGACTATTACTTTAATTAATTATTACCTATTACTAACTTTAAATATTATTACCTATGTGACATAATGGAGGGTCTTTTTGTAACTATTAGGGTCATTAGGTCGTAAATTATATTAACGATTTGGTCGACGTTATTATGTTGCCAAAAGTGGCTAACCCTTAGATTTTAGTATTTAAGATATAATATAAGTAATTAAGATATTTAATTCTGATCTTATTTCTTTATAATTCGCTTTTGGGAAATTAAAAGCAGTATTGTCCTTGGGCATCTTTTGTAGACAAATTTTTGAGGAAATGGTCAATACGGGGTGGGCGTTTTCTTTACCAGCACCCTAGCACCAGCACTCCTAGATACGCCGGATCTAATTTGCGGACATTTGAGTTACAAATATGATTTTTTGATAAGGTCCATTAAAAGAAATCAGATTATTAAGTAAACTTTCTTTTTCGGTTATATTGCTAATTGGGAGTAAAAAGTTAAGTTAGTTAAATAGTCTGGGTTTTCAGAGATCTTCCAGGAGACCTGGGATGTTCTGGTATAGTACATTTATTATAGCACATTTTGGCAAGGAATTAAACAATGTGAGCATGGACTATTTCATAGTCTAATGTACTTTTTTAAATGAAAGGTCGTTTTGCAGCCACACAAACTGAAACTTTTAGTCCTTTGCTACACGGCGTACAGCTTCATGTAATTGTTTGTTGGTCGGACACTAATGTTCTGTGCAACGTAGATTGGTTTCTTATCACCTCTAAGACCGAAATGTTAATTTATCGGTTTCATGGGCGTTACTGAAGCACTTCATACATGCTATAATTTTGTAACGAACTAAAGGGCTTTACTACTATATTACGGCGCCTCATAGATACCTGATTTAGTTTTGATAATTTAGTGATCTAATAATTCGATAATAATTTAATAGCTCGTGTTGTGGCAAGGGATATCCCACGATACTTGTAAGTTTTCGAACAATAGCGCTCACGTTCTCAGACTTATGCTGATACTACACTGGTACACACTGGTTTTCTAGGTTGCAGACACGAGCTTGCGGTTCGAACTGATCCAACCTGTCACCCAGGTTAGTTACTTGAATTTTTAATGTCTGTGTTTTCAAATAAAAATTTGTATTATGCCATGCTTTAAATTGATAAACTAACCACGAACAATTTAACGTCAGAAAATTATACATTTTGGGAAATTATACAACTGACTGACTTATTGGAATAAACATCAAAAAAATGCAATTTGTTACAAGGATAGGGTTTGACTAAGTGGTCCTGCTTATCTTGCACCAATCTAGACCTGCAAGCAGGTTTCGCTCTAGACCCAGTTTTTGCTCGCAGATTCGCTCTTTACAGTACAGTACAGACACGAAACTTATAACATTAGATTGGATCGACTGCTAAACCCAGGCAATTGGGGTACACATTGGATTATCATACTTTGTTCAAAAGTTTACCGTGACTTACTTGCAATTCTCACAAAAAGATGCAAACGTGGGAACTTTTCAGTGGTCTACTGCACAGACGCCAATCTTTAAACATGTCTGCATTGACTTATAATAGTCTTCAAGAGTTCACCATGGCCTTGAGCATAAGAGAATTGGATCCAGACGAGAAAGGTTCTTCATCGGTCAACAGTATTGACACATAACTTTATGTAATGTACTCGTATGTGTGTGCATTGATTACGGAGAGGTTATCCGTAGTTAACAATAACCTGGCTTCTGCGTCCAACATTAATAGGGCAGGCAGAAATCATCATTCAATTACAATGTGTAGTGCTAAATAGCTGGTGGGCCCGTTGACACATTATACTCGTAGTCTATCGCTGTGTGCGTCACCTTATTAAACTTAATGATTTATTTCAAATACTGTTACTAACAGTGAGACTGCTGATAAACAAATTTATTTCCACTTCGTAGAAGCCCAACTATGCTGTATTTTATAGTCGTCATCGTTGTTTTTATGCTTCCATATTGATTACAAAAATATTGGTTACAAAATTTCAGCAATTGTAGTCTAAACTGAAAAGTCTAATTATATGCCTATATTTCAAACATTAAAGTTATCTGTAATTATTATTTATAGCTGATGTTTTGGCTTCCCTTCTCAAACTCAAGAGTTATGTATATGACAGGTTTTTGAAAATACCTTGCTGTCTATTTTAGGTGTAACACGATGGAACCTCGTTGTACAATAGTGTCTTAGCATCACATTCACATGCATCTGTTCCACAAAATTAAAGCAATGCCATTAAAGCTGATCGCCTTTGGTTTTCATCAGATGTACATCAATATGAAATTCTGGTAGATACCGGCCCTTTCATTGACCTATAATTCAGGCACCGATATTAAATGGAAGCCTCTTCCTTGTCCCTTTAAATAAACCAAAATGTTATTTAATATTATTTAGTGTTACTCTTATTTTAGTATCTTAATTCTTAAGAAAGTGTGAAAACAATTTTGTTTCACCTTTCAACCATTTGTTAATATAATTTAGAGTCCTTTCAACGTTTTTAAAGTATTTTTTAATATAAGTGACTCTACTTCTAGGTGTCGTATTATTATGAAATACACACCACGTAAAGTTACAGGAACAAAACAACTGTGAAAACCTTATCCAAATTTGAGATGTACAGACACACTGACCGACAGAAAAATCAATAGATTGTTCTTAACGACTTTACTTTTCTTCAATACTGACATTGTAATTTAAAAGCACTATCATTCGATTAAAAGTATCTACAAATGGCAAAAACGGAATCTTTATAGATTCGTCATGTCCGTCCGCCAGTCTGTCCACACTATGGCCCGTATTTAAAACAAAAATCTCAAGTATCGGCTGAACTCTGATTGCCTGGCATTAGTTTTAAGTGCAGATCAAAACTTAAGTATGGATCTTATTATAGAAATATTTTTTAGGGTACCTCTAGTACCTTTAAAATATAATATATTATACACCTGACAGTTGAATATCTGAAAAAAAAACACGGTATAACGGATTTAAAATCAAAACTATCACAACTAAGTAGGCCTTATTAGTTTACGAGTAAAAGTCCACCAACTAAGTCGACGTTATAGGCTGTCGACACCCTTCATGTAAAATGTTTATAATATGAAATAACTACGGAACCCCACATTGGACGTGACTCGACATGCACTTGGCCTTAGATTATTATGTTTGTTTGTTTGTTGTAGCTAACTGGTTTTTAAATTTAATCCATAACCTTTGTACTGTTACATTAATAATTGATGTTATATTTTCGTTCGTTATTTCTAACCTAAACTAACTTGTTTTCATATTTGAAAAGGTTTTATACAAATTCTTTAATAGGGTTTGTACGTTCACAGTTGGTAGTTTTACGATATTATGTATATATTTTTATTGTGTGTCATAATTTAAGAATTTGAATAGCCTAACGTTTCAACCAGGTTTTCGCCGTCGAGTCCGTGAGGTACAACTTTCTGCATCCAACCACCATAATATTATATCGGAGATGTATATCGGAAAAATATTTGTGTTTTTTTATGATATAGGCGTTGTATAATCGTGAAGGCGGGTCACCCGATGGACAGTGACTACCGCCGCCCATGAGCGTCTGTAACTCAGGAGTCACAAGCACGTTGCCGGTTCATTTCCACAGACACTCACGCCCCTACGCCTCTATCGCCGAGGGGACATACAAAGGAGTATTAAACGTCCACAGTTTGCCCACTATACATATTTTAGTCTCACTTACATAATAGGGTTACATTACCGTCAACCGGGCGCATACATCTTATAGATAAATTACACCCAAACGCAGAAATAATAATAATAATTGAATAAATAAATGAAAAAAATGAAATAATCTTGCATATCACACAATATTTGTCCTGGATGGGACTCGAACCCACAAGAACCACAAGAGTGATAGGCCCCTAATAGAAAGATATTCTATGATCTATCCTAAACTATTCATATTACAGAAACTTTTTAACCCCCAACAGAAAACGGGAGGTGTATCCATACAAATAAATAAAATTTGAAGTGTCTTTTTGTAATGTCAAAATAATAGGTTTTTTTTTCATGCTGCACGGATGGCGTAGTGGTTTAAGCGGTCGCCTCACCGCTTCCTACTATGCGAGTGTTGTGGGTTCAAGCCCCACATGGGACGACACTTTGTGTGATCAATATTGCAGTTTTGCTGTTCATAAAAATTAGAAATGTATGTACAGACAATATATCCTAGACACAAAACAATCGAACCCACGACCTAGCAGTCAATATCACCAACCATCAGACCAAAATTTAAAATTCTGTTTACGCTTTCACGCATAATTTACCATGATGTTATTGGTATATCGCTATCAGGACACTTGCCGATATCCGAGCGGAATAATCTTGCGAGATAGTTAACGAGATGATAGCGCACGTCTAGCTACTGATGCTGGGCATGCGTTCAGTATTTATTATATTATAGGTTGTTGTGTAGTGAACACGTTTTTCGTGGCCAGGTCAAGATGTTGCGTGTGCTTCGTGCCTCGCTGCTGTTAGTAGTAGTTGCGCTCGCGCACCCCTCCCACGGTAGGTGCCTTGTGTCATTGGGGAAGGGATGATGGATTTTGGCAACTCGCCAAGCTACTATGATTTGTTGCTTGACCGGCAACCGGTGGCGGCAATCTTTTCAGTGAATTATGCAATATTCACAAATCTCTTGTTAATAGTTAGGCGAGTAATGTTGCGGGGCTGGCGAGTACAGAAATCACATCCAACGCATTATTTTCTAATTCTATTAACGTTTCGAATTAGATATAAGTCAAAATGAAAGTCATTCTTGAGAAATATTTACCGAGAAATCGACAGATTAGAATCGTCTTTAATCCTCTTTTTTTACCTTTGCTAATTTAAAATGCTTTTACAAAATAAGACCAGCGCTTGCATAAATATGTTTTCACCATTCGGCTGAGGACTGCAATGTGAATAAAGTAAACGTCAACGTGTTTTATAGTCAGTAAATACATAAACTATATATGTACCATTTACACTTGTAAGAGCCGTTATATTTACATAAACACTGCGTGTGTACGATATCTTTCATAACTGTTTTTCAAACCGTATACACATCCTAATTATTATTTTAGAAGTGGATGTGTACCACAAAATGTTGCGTGGCTCCGGTACACCATCGCTAGGCCGCGAGGCGGAGATAGATCCGCAGTTCTGGGCTAGCGAGGCAAGAGCCGCTATCGAGGCGAAGCTGCGCCGCACCGAGCCCACGGGCAGAGCGCGCAATGTCGTCATGTTTTTGGGCGACGGAATGTCCGTGCCCACGCTCACCGCCGCACGTACTCTACTCGGCCAGCGACAGGGTGCTAGTGGAGAGGAGGCGCAACTCGAGTTCGAGAAATTTCCTACCACCGGATTGTCCAAGGTAGGCAAATAATTGTGCAATCACACCTCATGTTATATATAGCACATTAGTACTGATTAAATTATCGGTTGGAATTTAATACATAACAAAATAGTATTACAATATATAATAATGATTATGAGAATTAAAGCGATAGATATTCAGTACCTACATACCTTTGAATATCGAATAAGATTAAGTATAATAATATCGGAGATGTGCGGGTGGATGAACAAACTACTACCTCACAGACTCGACAGCGGAGAACGTGCACCTTTGAACCAGTTGCCTGTGACTCCGGCCAATGTACCTGGTAGGTTCGTACTCTAAATTACGATGGTGTTGAAATCTTGAAAATTAATGAAAATACATATATTCTTCAATAATTTGAAGTTTTAAACTATTATATATTCGCAGTTTATACATACTCGTACATAAACTAAATATATTTCGGGGTGAGGCACTCATGTACTAAGTAAGTACGATGTTGCTAATGTAAGCAACCAAACAAAAAGTTTTTCAAATCAATATATTCAAGACTTTTGAGGTAATTCTTTAATTGTGCTTCAAAATAATTCTAGTAAGTCTAGGTCAATAGAAAGTATCCTTTACCTGATATCGCCCAGTTTGAGCCACCGGTATCCTTGTTGTTGACATGTCAAGCACAATTCAGTTTCGCGGTCATTTAGAGCTTATGGCCAAATTAACATCGAAGGAGATTGGTGTCCTGAACAGATCACGACAGCATTTCAATCCGGGCCTACCCTTTGTAAGGTACAGGTATGATCAAACATGGAATACTGCTCTCATGTTCGGGTATTATACGGTTTCAATGAAGAGCGACTGACTCGTCATGTCGATGTTTCAGATCTCTTTCTCTAGCTCCTGACTTATAAGGTGTGCTCTGTGTAACTATTCAGACATATACTAGTCGCAGTTTTGTGGCATGGTGACACACAACAAAACTTGCATAACTAAGATAATTGGCAGTAGTGCCACTACTGGATGGTGCCCTGATTAGGATACTTTTTGATTTTTTCATTTTCGGTCACCATTCCATTAGGTTGTACTCACCCCATCTAACAATACCATTGTTTGATTTTGTTTAAGTTTATATAAACGATACAGTCAATCCGGTTGGCTTGACTCTATCTTTTATTTTCCTCCTCCTTCTGAAAATTGCTTCCTCCTACTTTTTGTAAAATCGTTTAGTGACAATAGCAATTGGTAAACATTGCTGTTTTTGGGAAGTGGGTGAAAAAAAATAATAAATTTATTTATGGTTAAAAAACGACTACAAATGCTACCAAATGGGCCACTACTGAGACCCACTGTTATGTGTGTATTAGTGAGTACGTGTATGTAGGTGAAACAATAACTAAATACGAAGGATATTTCATATCGGCAGACTTACTGCGTAGACGCACAGATCGCAGACTCAGCGTGTTCAGCCACGGCATACTTATGCGGCTCCAAGGCTAATAGCGGCACCATCGGCGTCAGCGCCGCCGTGCCGCGCTACCACTGTACTGCGGCCACTGATTCCAACAATCACGTGCATTCCATTGCCGACTGGGCGCTCAGTGACGGCCGAGACGCTGGTAGGGCTAACAGACAGCTATGTTACATGTCATACTAGTTTTAAGAATACTTCGGCCACTTCACTGTATTATGAATAAATAAACATAAATAAAAAAGTGATCGAGACCTTCGACAACTGAGACTTATAATTGAATAATGTGTTGTAGGTATAGTTACAACGACGCGGGTGACGCATGCCTCGCCGGCCGGTACCTACGCCCACACAGCGAACCGCGACTGGGAGAGCGATACAGATGTTGAGTGCGAGGAGCCGCGCCCCCGAGACATTGCACTGCAACTGGTGCACGACCACCCCGGTGACAAGTTCAAAGTGAGAACATTATACTTGACATGACTGCGACATTTGTACGTGCAGTCATGTAACTAATATCTACCATCATAATTATCATACCGCATCACTATTATTTTTAAATAAACTAATGAAAATTATAGGTCATCCTAGGCGGTGGACGGAGGGAGTTTTTACCAAATACAGTCTACGACGAAGAGGGCACGCAAGGTAGAAGATCCGATGGGAGGAACCTGATTGAAGAGTGGCAGGAAAATAAGAAGACGCTCAACGTCAGCTATCAGTATATATGGAATCGCAAGCAGCTACTGGACACAGCGTCGGATCCACCGGAATTCTTGCTCGGTTTGTTTGAAGGCAGTCACATGCAGTATCATATGCAGGCAGATCCAGATACGGAGCCGACTCTAGCGGAGCTCACTGAAGTAGCCATCCGCTCATTGAGTCGGAATGAAAACGGCTTCTTCTTGTTCGTTGAGGTTGGACATTTTAGATTTTAGTTTTATGTTGTTTAAATGGTGGAATAAAATAAAATCATAAAAAAATATCTAAATTCTGCCTTGTGTACATACGTTTCGCCATTATTCATTGAAATGTTTCGCCATAAATTGAGCTACTTGAACTAAACTGTTTTCTTCTTACCCTAAGGGTGGCCGTATCGATCACGCTCATCACGACAACTTAGCCCAAATGGCCTTGGACGAGACCATCCAGATGAGCGAGGCGGTGGCCCGCGCGGCCTCCATGCTGTCGGAGGAGGATTCACTAATTGTAGTGACAGCGGATCACGCCCACGTCATGAACATTAATGGGTACACGGCGCGCGGCAGCAGCATCATCGGCCCGTCAGACTCTGTCGGAGACGACGCTGTGCCCTACTTGACACTGTCGTACGGCAACGGGCCCGGCTTCCGTCCGCACACAGAGGCCGGCGTACGCGAGGACATCACTGAAAACGATTACCGTATGTACTTTAAATATTAAAAAAAGATAGAAGCTAAGAAAGAGACTGCACGGATGGCTTGCGCTAAGTGTTGTGGGTTCGATCCCCACATAGAACATCACTTTGTGTGATCCAGAAATTGTTATCCTGAGTCTGGGTGTTCTTTGTGTCCGCTTCATGTGTGTTTAAAAAAAAAAGATAAGGTTTGTGTTTGTGCAACGCAAAGTGCATTGATGTTTGTTTTGAACAACTAACAGACATTTACTTGTCCTTAGACGTAAGAAAATAAGTGAAAAGGTGAGACTATATTTAGTAGCGTAGGAGATTATAATCAGTATTAATAAAACTACTGTAACAAGTATGTGCATGCGCAGTGTAAGGGCCTGAACTTTTGACTGATTTCCATATTGAACATGTTTGTAGTGGACGTGATGTTTCGGTTCGAGGCATTGGTGCCGTTGGACGAAGAGACCCACGGAGGCGACGACGTGGCGGTGTTCTCGCGCGGCCCCCACCACTCCATGTTCTCCGGACTGTACGAGCAGAACCACATCCCGCACTTGATGGCATACGCGGCGTGCCTCGGTCCCCCGCCTAATGCATGTCAAACTATTTCTACTTAATACTCCTGTTTCAATAAAGTACGGTTCGCTAAAAAATATGTCTATTATTGTAAGTATTCATAACGTCACACCTAACCATATCAAAAAGGATGTCGCAAAGAGTGCACATCAAATCTCTGGTTCTTCTTACAGCATCTCCCACTATTTGTCCGTGTCTAAGCGTCGGCCGTAACCTCAAGCAGTTTTTAGCGACATTCTGTATTTGCGCTCGATTCTTAGAAAGTTTAACTACACGAGGCCATAGTCGAGGATCGGGAGTTTTAGAATTTTAGATCAGTATCCGATGGTAGAATTGAGAACAACTCTTACTCGTTTCGATAACTACTTTTGTGTGATGATTCTTTTTCGACGATTGACAGGTTTTTGTCTAGCGTTACACCTAGGTATTTAACTTGTTCCTTGTACTCGATAAAATCTCCTATCTAATCTCTGCTTGTACCACTTGGAGTACAATGGTGGTCTACCACAAGTATACAGGGGGCCCCTGACACAATTTTTTTTTACTCATCGTATGAGTAACCGTGCTACGTGTAAGAATAACATTTTAAAAGACTTCAGTAACCACCTTATAAAGCCTTTAATAGTACCTATTTTATTAAACCTATATATAAACCTATAATGTAATAATATATATACGACAATGTCGAGAGACGTTAGTGAGACATAAAGCAATTCCAAAAATAAATCATAATGCGCAGAGCGCGCGTGCTGCGCATGCGACTGTGGGTCACTAACGATCCGTGACGGGCCACATACCTCCTCCAGCAACTATAGTAAGCTGTGACTTCAGATCCTCCCTCAAATAACGAGAAGTACAAAAACTCTTATAATCGAGCATAAAAGTTCATATTTGCGCAAACGCTCGTGGTGTTGCGCCGGCACAAGGGTCCGCCCCGCCCTCGTCACTTCGTCGCAAGCTTTTAATGCGGAGCTAATCGATATCATGCTTCTTATCTCAACGCTGATATACTTTCAAATGTCGATTGTATTGTTTTAGTGTAAAGTGTGCGTCATCTGCTCTGTTTACCCAAACGGTGTTGTTGAATTTGAGTAATGCCAAAGTGTTACCTCAAACGTGTTTTATGTTAGGTACATTTGTTTTTTTAATCAAGAGCTAACGGTAGATACTATTTTGCTAAATATTTGAGTAGAAACAATATTAGCCAAATTTGTATCACTTGCAGATATTATCCATTGTAAACAAATGACAATTATATAATGTAAAATGTGTGTTGTGGTAATGTATTGAATGTTATGTTCAATAATTTTCATTTTAAAAACAATTGTTAATTGTCAAAAACAATAAGAAGACGTAAAACGGATAAGTGTGTGAGCTAATACCTGAAACTAGCCCAACATTGAAGCCTGGATATTCCCCTGATGAATATATGGTTGAACATTGTTGACATCTGCTTGTCTCTGAAACCGATTCGATTATCAATAAAATTATTTCGTTTAGACGTTACCGGACTTTAATTAAGTGAGTGGAGATCGGTGCTTAGGCAGGAAAGAGAAGCTCGACTGGACGAGTGGTAGGTACAACGGTTTCATAGAAAACCGGCGTTATGAACTCCCCCCTTGTCTGGAGGGGGCGAATTTATAAGGTGGCAAAGCACTTATGTGTCATGAGTTACACGTGATCATGGACAGCCCTGTGATCCGACAGTGACCCGTCTATGCTCCAAATAACTTCACCTAAGAATCAAAAATATAATTATTTAACATGTTAATTTTGACAAAACCTGAAACAAATTTACTAAAACTTGACAAAATGTATATCCCGACCGGTATAAAAAGTGGTGGTTCGTGTTTCAGTTCAGCTTGTAAACTGAAGTCTTTACATTTTTTACTGTTCACTAGATTCAGGTACCACTGAGTATTATGATAGTGCATTGCATGCACTGCATGCCTACGGTGAAGCGTGGACCGCAATCTAACGTCGAGTAAGTGTTAACTACGATCGACACACACTTTGCCAACAACACAAACTACTCGTCGCCCATTAGGCACGATGTCTGTCCCTGCGTTCGCCGACGCAACAGAATTCATTAAAAGCGCAATTAGCGAAGTGCATAGCCCCTTGCAAAAGGCACGCCGCGCTTCTCTCAAAGTGTAACATTACGAAAATGTCATTCGTCAAAATTTCCCCGAAGACTGTGGGGTCCGGGCACAGGGCGGCCGGGACGTCCCTGCCCCGCGAGCGCCGCGGGGTGGCGGCGCGGCGCGTCCCGGGCGCGGCGTCACTCCGGCAGTGGCGAGCGCCCACCCTCGCAGAACGCGCGCCTCAGGCCGCTCCACGCCGCCGACCTCCCCGGTGAGCTGAAACTTTCGTCGCGCGCTTCACCCGACTAACACTGGGGATACCCGTAACCGCTTCGCAAACTTGTACGACCGTGCAAGTGTTCGTGTTGTGTACTCGCCAACACGAGTGATTTGAGCTACTCGGATTCAGTGCGATTTTGTAATTTGTGTCAGTGTACTAACATATATACGTTTATAGCAGTGAATTACGAGACTGTTCGGAACCCTCGGTGCTACAGGTAATTTCAAATGGCTAATTATTTTGTTAAAAAGTTAAATTCCCTTTAAAACGTTTAAAATGCAAGTGTTGACATTGGCGCCCAGCGTGGGGCCAGTACAAGACTACGCTGTATCTTTATTTTATTATTATATCACGAGGCAGTTGCAAAGCATTACAGTGTCTGTAAGAGTCTGGTAACTGACAACGTGGCATTGTTATCTAGGAACTAATTTACTGAATTTAATGATCACTTATTTTGCACTGTTGGTCTGCTGCACATTTAGTTTAGTATTATTTTAAAATCAATAATAAAATTAATGGTGGTAAGGTATTACTTATACTACACTATAGTTACATCCGAATTGTAACATTTAACAGCCATCAGGACTACAGAAGAAGAGATCTAATAGAGCCCTCAATCGTAAAAAAAACAATCGCGAAGAGCAAAAGATAGAAATTTATTAGTTTGTTTCTAAAGGAAGGTGGCAGGCCTACTTGTGTGTTTTATTGGAAGGAACTTTGGATGTTGAGCATGCAAAGATCAGCAATGAGCACCAATGGCTTGCACCCATTTGAGCTCGACTTGTATCTTGGTACGGCTAGGCTGTGTCAACACCGATATACAGGAATTATATCGTGTGTTGAAAATAAATACTTGAAGCTAGCCAAAACGAGTAGGACTCAAGTAAGTTTTTTAGTTAGGTTTGGGTTAAGCCACATATCCTACAGAAACAGTAAAGTAGTCGGTAAAGTATTTAATGACTTTTGTATATTATTAGAAAAGATGTAGGTACTTAACTGTTAGATATACAAAGCTCGATCTCAAATTATACAAACTCAACAGACAAGTAACTTGGTAGCTTTAAGCTGAGCTGGTTGGTAAGGTTAAGCGCACTTCATACATACATAAATACACATGCAAGTGTCCTCAAGTTAAATGTACAGGTATCACTTTATCAGGAGTACTATTTAAGTTTATACAAGTCGGGATGATTTTTCTGTATCATTGTAGTAATATATTTTGCGAAGTATTATTAATTAAATCTAAAATAATAGGCTTCCTAAGCTAACGTCCTTCAATATTATTGACTCGGAATATGACTCGGATATGACACATAAAACACTAGAAGCATATTATGTAGAACCTACTTTTATGAACTCAAACTCTATTTCATAAAAATATAAAATTAATATTATTTTAACGGGAATTAACGCGATCTCTTATTTAGGGTATTACATACCTCTGGTTTGCCTGACGTTTCGACCAGGTTGCACCGGCCGTGGTCACAGGCTGGCTGACGTTAAAATAATATTAATTATCATGGAACGAGAAAGTTTAAAAAAAAAATATATATATATATAAAATTGTTGGAAATCGTCTTTTATGTAGACTCTAAAGTCATAGATCAACACACACAAAAGCAACAATCTCTGTTTTGTCAAATAGTAATACAAAATCAGTAAATCTCAAATAATTGAACACAGTTTTTTTTTTAAATAACTTCAAAATTTTAGTAAGTGATCAACTATCGAAAGAATGGTAGTGTTATACAATTTTTAGTCGAAGCAACAGGACAGACGAGCAGACGGGTCACCTGATGGAAAGGTACCATCGCCGCCCATGAACGTCTGCAACTCAGAAGTCACAAGCAGGTTGCCGGCCTTTTAAAAAAATTAAAGTATCACTTAGGCAAAATAATGAAATTTTGTCCTTATTGGAGCCTGAAAGCGTTAAGTACAATGGATGATCACAATATGGTTTTATATTGTGGACATCAACAACACTTTAAAAAGTACCCCGCCTATTTCCGAAATGTCCGATGTAAAACCGAATTGTTTATCTAAAATGTCACTTCGGCCGGCAGAGAGTGCGGCGCGCGCTCAACAAGGCACTTTAACTGTTGTGGTTTAGTGTACTCGTACATTAGTTGTAGCTTTTACTTATTTTTTATTCAGTGTTCTTTAAAAGTGTATATACTCGTGGTGTTTGCCAATAAAACGTAATTAACGTTATTACTCTCTCTAAATAATATTCACTTAGACTCATATCATCGTCAGTGCATTTTTTAATAAAAAAGTGAGTGTCAATCATAGTTTGGACAGTAACGTTGTTGTTAACTGAATTGATTACAAAATCACGAATATAGACTTGGATACTACTTTAGCTGTGAACTTTTTAAGTAGAACAATTATCACTCAGGTTAATTGTTTTATAAGGTACATAACAATGTCACGTGTAAACAGCTACTCACTTCACGTACAAGAACTAAACAAGAGATGTAAATAGATAACGATCGGTAGTTGTTCAGAGTTTCTTTCGCTTGCACTACAACAGTTGTATTGGTTTCAATGAGGGATCATTTATTTGTAACAAAGTATTATTTGACTCTTCACTTGACTAGATGCTCTGTATGTGATGAGAATAGGATGAATGAAACGACAAATGAACAGATTAGAGAAGGTTCACTCAAATTATCTCTGTACACTGGAGGCATATTCTGTACGTATGTTAAATGTATAACGCAGATGATTATTCCCATTCAAATAACAAAAACAATTTGTTTTCAATTAAACGAGAAGATTCAAAATAAAATATGTAGTGAAACTACTGTTGCGTGTTCAGATAGTGCTTTACGACTCCTCCTGGTTTATACTTTGTGTTAGTATTTATACTCTGATATTAATCGTGTGTGAGCTCACATCTATACACACATTCAAACAGAGATTTAGCTGACTAGTGACACTATTGCGAAAATTATAGTAACATCGTAATGAATAATAAGGAAATGATTTGGGATTAGTGTTAATGATGATAGTTGTAACAAAATAATGTACGTGATGCGCGTATAATGTGCTAATAAATATAAATAAATCACAGTACCTATAGAAAACGGATCACAAGATTTCAAGTCGAATTATGGCAGCGTCGTCATACTAAGGAAAGAATAGTAGAAATGACTTGAACAGCTGTATGGCGGTTAACCACTCAATATATTTGGAAAGAGTAACATATTATAATTAAGATTACGTAAACGTCACACCTATATGTATGTACTGCACGTATGTACTGAATCTCAGCGGACCAAATTAAAACGTAGAAAGGTTTAATTAACTATCCGCCTGGCTCTATCCTTGAACTACCGCTATCAATCCCAATCTGGTGGCATTTGAATATAATAATATGGTACCATTAAACTGTTCTGATGATGGCGCAAGAAGACGGCCAAAGGAACTTCTTAACTAAACAAGATAAGCCTTCAATACCATGAAAGTTAAGGCTCATTTGTTTTGTCTTGGAGAGTACTTTCGTGCTGAATGGTATCCAGGGTCTATTAAAACGAGCTACTCGTTTTAAATTATTACTATTACAATTAATTTATTTGGTTTACGCGTACATCGCAAAATATTGTTTACATTTAGCACATGGCTCTATATTCCACAGCCTAATGACATGACACATAAAACACTAGAAGCATGTTACGCATATAGCATATTTATACCCGTCGCAACTTATACACGAAAGGTGCAATCGGAACAATTCACACGCACGTACTCGTAATTAACCTTGACAATGAAACTGTGTAAGTTTTTTTTGGCGAAACAACACCTAGTCTCAGGACAAGTCCCATGCGGGGATCGAACCCACAACACATAGCACAGACCACAACAGAATCCTTGCAGTCAAAGTAGTTAGATAAGTATTGTTATAATGACGCATATGTCATCCTTTCGATTGTACCCGCGTTGTTGTTGATCGACTGCCTTTGTCCGTGTTGTCCTCGTGCACACCTTGTGTCATAGCTATTGTTTCAAATACTTTTGAGGAAGAGCTCACTACTTAGACTACTTATCTTATTACAAACATTGATACCGCATCTTGATCGTTTGTGGAAACGTGAAATGACATTTCTTGTAGAATATATTTAAAAAAATACAGACCAATTCATAACTTCCTCTTTTGTGTTTTAAAAAGATTATCCTAAACCGGTACTTGTTGTTAGGTACAATATTCCGATTAATATACCAATAAACTGATATCAAGATACGTACATAATATGTATATACTTACGTAGGTACGCGACCTTGGATAATTCCTGTAGCAAAACAAAAAAAATGTTAGCTAATTGCTGTTAATGAATGCAAGTACCATTGTGAGAATGACTGCTGTTCTGCTTCATTTCCTCAACCGTTTCATCGCATAACTGACAAACACATTTGTAACATAGATAGGTACATGTACTAGTGAAGAGGCAAGCCCTTAAGATGTGGTAAAATAATAAACAATATAACAATAAAATGGAAAACACATTTCAGATAAGATTGTACGTATTAGAGTTAGTACGAGTATGACATGCGAGCTGGCTACGAAAGGACACGACATAAATACCGCAACATAATCTGTAAAACGGCTTTGCCCCGCTCTTCATTCTATTGAGATCTTTTTCACTCACTGAAATTTATATCTATTTGTCTTCTTCTAACGGCAATTTCATACTTTAACCGCTATTACTAGAACATTGATAAGTAATGAGGTTGTTATGAAGACCCGTTGCGATTGGCCCTTGCTCATCACTCAGCTCTTGGAGCGGCTTTGATTTGATTCCGATGCACTCGCGCTCTCGACACGTCCTCACCATTTTCATTTAGTCCTGTTTTGATTCATCTGATTGTGATATGATAATTATTGATTGAAACTAATTAATAAATAATCACGATTAAATGGTTTAAGCTCATAAGCAATTATTGTGACACATATATATATATATATTAGATATCAATTCTATACAAATAAATAAAATCTAAGTGTCTGTTTGTAATGTTAAAATAATAGGTTTTTTTCATGCTGACACGGTTATTTACACGATACTTATGCCTAAAAACCAGTTTAATCATTTTTTGCCTGTCTGTCTGTCTGTTTGTTCCGAGTAACCTTCAAAACGGTTTGACAGATTTTGATAATATTTTACTACAAGGTAGCTGTCTACCTAAAGAGTAACTAAGGCTATTTTTCTCTCTCAGGAAACACTTCAAAAACTTAAAAAGTTCTGCACCTATTGAACTGTAATTGTGACACGATACACAGCCCGCCTCTAAGATAATATACCTCACACATCTCACACACGGCCGTCTGATTCCGAACTAGGCAGAGCCTGTGCTATGGTAACCAGACTGCTGATAAACATACTTATATATTTCTAAATACATACATATTATAGATAAATTACACCCAGACACAGAACAAATGATCATGCTCATCACACAATATTTGTCCTGGGTGGGAATCAAACCCACGACCTCCGGATTAGCAGTCAGGGGCACTAACCACTAGACCAACAGGCCCGTCAAAGATAGCTTCTATCTATGTATTTTTCGCGTCAGTGATGTTCGTCGTCACAAGGCGCCACGGCGAGGCTTGCCAGGGCACACCTAGTTTATTACAGTCGTCGTCGTGGAAAATTAATTAAGACTTCTTAGCCGAAATGGAAAGCTTATATGTTTGACCTGTATGTGTGAATATATGTATGTCTGTCTCTATGTTCTCGGAACTACTAAACTGCTGTACAGATATAGATGTATTAAATGCTACAGATTAATAATATATGCAGGTAATGGTAATACAATATATATATATATATATATTAGAAATAAGTTAATTTGACCGAAATTACCAGGAACTTTATAGTAAACCGAAAGACAAAGAATCAAACTTTTCCTTTAGACACAAGAACAGATTAAATCTACTCCTTCTAGACTAATAATGCATTCTCGTGGTCCTTTGGTTATGTCTATAAAAGTTTATAAAAATTACCAATTGACATTAAAAACGATACTTAATTTATTACTTTGTTAAAAAACTGAAGCTCTATCTAATTAGCAAGAGTATTTGGAAGTTAAATAAAATACTCTAAGATAATAAATTCATAAATTCTATAATTGTAATAATCAGATTAGACTAAATGAAAAATGGATCTAAGGTTGAAATAATAGTGTCCTCTTTTCTTTCTTTTTCTAATAATATATTATATTTATGACTACTAAAATAATTATAATTAACCATCAAATAATTAAAATAATAACTGAATTGAATAAATAACTGGCAATATTTTATTTCTTTTATACACTATTAAATCAATATTAAAATGACGAACAAATGTATCAATAATGATTGTAATTAATAATATAATAATACATGACATACATACTTACCATGATTGTATCATACTATATTAATTACAAACGAAACATTCTACTGTATGTATGTTTGTGTTATCTTCCTCTCTCCTAAACAATCTGCTGCGCCCGACAGGGTCCATAATTGTAAATTGTTATCACCTATGTAATAACATTATGGAAGTAATAAAGTATTGAGTATTTAAATGTATGTACTATGATATTGTTTTTTTAAAAATTAAAATTGTTGATATGTATACAAACATATTAAAACCATGTCACTAAGCAGGTTAAAGTTTTTCTCTGCGCGCCCAACCATCTAAAAACAATAGTAATAAACACAAAATGAGCACAAATCTCTTAAAATGAAACAAAACACGAGTAAACATATTAAAGTGTCAAACATTAGCGGTCAAATGAGTGTGCATATCCGAACGGAACTCGCGTAACCAACGGTTAAAAATAAAATGCATAATATGTAGAAAATAAACAAATCACTGCAAATGTATGGTTTTGTTATGAGCTCCAGTAAGAGTTTAATTGTCCGACTACTCATATTTACTTTAGTAACACGCTCATTAAGCCTCATTCATAATACGCAACCTGCATTTAGAGCTCTCTTTACATTAAATATGAAGACTTTGGAGAAAGTGCAGTTAAATTATTATCGAAGCATTCATTTTAAATGTTAAAATAAGTATATTTGTTATTATGTTATCATTGCTATCCTTCGTATACCTAAATTCTTCTATTTATCAGAAGCAAAGGAGTCGGATCTTGTTTACCACCAAGTTTTGCGTATAACTCTAGACTCTAAATTGCAGTGGGCCCACACATTAATGCATTGTCGAACAGACGCAGCTGTGCATTGTACGCACTTGTAAAATATTTGAAAAGCTTTACCGACAGAAATGAATATAATTTATCATTTAATTCTTAGTAAATACAATATTCTAACGCTGCAGCACAGACGCTTCCTTTTGGGAGCAGCAACTTTATACAATGTGTGTCATAACTAGTATGATTGTATTGATCTCACTAACAAATTGTACAAACATTTAGTGCACTGCGCTCAGTGCAAAGACGCACAGTAAGGCTACTATTTAGTACTAAGTCGTTTCGAAGTAGCGCCGGGCGAAGCGCTCGCTATTCCAGCTGGTTAATGCCTATAATAATTACTTTGAAAATGTTGACGTCGTTGAAGCATCGGTGCGTTTAAGACTGAGTTTCAGTAAAAGGTGTAGGTATAATTAGGTTGGTTGTGCATTAATTGCTATGTTACGTATTTCCACTGATATTAAACATACACAACTGTTTATTGCCGAATAAAATAAAATGATGTGATTTACCTCCAATGATTGCACAAATTAAAAACATTGCAGATCAATAGATTCTCAAAATGGATCTACGCTCACACTAAGTTGCTTCATTTACAAACTTTGAAACTTACGCTTTCCACAATACACACACAGAAGGTAATAGGCATTACATCGTATCTTTGAATTGTCTGTCGATTGAGTTACCATTATTGCCTGTTCGAGGCTACATTCGAAGGCAGAACATTTGAATGGTATGTTATTTTCTTCTTATATATTTAGATAAATAAAAACTGTTAATTGCTCATTTAGCTTTAATATCCAGTTAAACATATAAAATAGAACTATGTTATCGGTCACCGGTACATGCGACGCGACGGGACGTTGTTTTAAACAACACAACACCTCCACACCTCCTCCACGTTCAGGAGGAACGTATAACAGTGAATGAAACAGTGGTAATTGTCGCAGTGTTCAAATCCTTGCTGTTCAAATCTCAATGCTTAGTTAACTTGTGACGTTTGTTCCAGTGCCTGCCGTGATGTGATTGGATGCAGCGCGTGCGTGCGCGTCGCTGAGATGTACGTGTGACGCGAGACAGCGACGGAACGACATGGCGGATGACAACACCATCATCGAGGGCACCGTCAAGTTCCGCGACGGGAAGAAGGTGAATGTTTACCATTACTAACGAACTCAAGTAAGGAGTATAACTATTTGCACCGGTGGCTATTATTCACATCATTGGTAATAATATTCAATCCCAACCAAAATATAATAGTAGGTATAAGTTCAACCACAAATAAGCACACGATAGAATAAATGAGGCACACAGCCACCTCGTTGTCCTCAATTATTAATGAACTGACCTATTACTGAACTAACTCGCTTACTCGACCTCGCCTGCTTACACCTATTTCTCAGCATTTCATAGATTTACCGTACGGGTGTCGAGTCCATCGCGCGATAGATGGGGGCAAAATATGCGACTACGATAGCATCTGGGAATTGCGACCCAAGAATAGGTTTAGGAAGCCTAGCAATACCACTTTGGATATTCGTTCAAGAAAAGAGTTCTACTAGTACTATACGCTCTGAACTCCGAGACACAGATATTCTCCGTTATTCTGTAATAATTTTCATACGTATCCACTAATAATGTACAGTCACGGGTGGCATTTATAATTGAGTAAGTTGCTTTTGTGAAGTCTTTTTTGTTTACATAGGTACTCAATGTTAGTTCCTAAGTTTGTTGTCTATGTACTGTTACGAAATTTTACGAAATATCACGAGATCAAATGTTATTGAGAAAAAGAGAGTGTTCATTAAACCGCGCAATACCGCGAATGTTCTGAAGAGAGTTCATTACCATGCGGCATTGCGCGGCCAATTGAAATAATAAGACAATGTACTATTGTACAGACGGCATAGGAAAATGAATTTTATTACTATACGCATAAGATAGAAAATAGATTGTTGCGCAATTATCTTGTTTTATTATTATTATTATTATATTAAACATTGAAGTAATCAAAACGAACAGAAGAGTAACCCAGCGACTTCGGCGATCATTTTGAAGTTTAATTAAGTAGCGTGGGTTTATAAGTATTTTAGTAATAAAATCTAATAAACCGTCAGAAGGTATTTATATTTCCAAATCTACGAACCCTCACACGTACTTTAAGTGGTCTGTTCGTTGTTCAAACTTGCGTCAATCTGTATTTTGACTAAATAAATACAAAAATATATAAATAGTGGTATCACAGTCAACTCGCTGTGGCCTCAGGGCAATACTACTAAAGGAAACCCTGTAAACCCCCAAACAAACTTGGCTGCTTCTTGAACAGTAGGTGACGCCAATGTAGAGTCGCCTACTGTTTAACGAGAAGGATGACGCCCCTCGTGCCTCCTCCCTCTCCTCAAGTGCTCTTTCCACCGCTGTCTTTGACTCACACCAGCTTTTTATAAACTAAGATTAAAACTTTAGATAATAAATAGAACACGATAAACGCTGAGCGCTACACTATGTGTACGATGTCATAACAAAGACATGATGATTTTTGTATCTCTGTTCTTAACACATCATGATGGTGCGGTGCCGAAAGGTCTCGTTGGTTTATGAGGGTGGTCTGAAAAGTTGCTACCACAGAAGTAACACCCGGATGGGTACATTCACCTCCACGACACAGCGTGGTTACATTCGGTGGTTAATGATTCACATATCATGACTATTGCACCGTGATAGGTAGACACGACGGTTTTTGAGCGTTTCGACACATCGGTGATTAGGTTCTGTAAACATGTTATATGATTTCCTGACCCTGATCCTGACCTTCATATTTTGATTGTATATTAAATTTAAAACGTCCCTACTTTTTGTTTCCTCTACATCGTCCAATGGTTGTCAGGTGGAGAATGTCAAAAACATTAAATCCGCCTTCACACCAGAAGTACATACAATAAATAATTAGGTATAAAGATAAACGGTTACAGACACTTTGTGAAAATGTTTTGATAAATATCTCAATGACTATATTAATGCATATTATTCTTATTAAATCTGCTGGTTATATTTAATTTAAAACGTAATAACGCAGACATGTAGATTTTATTGTGAAAAAGCTTAATTCGTGTGCTGAAAAGCTAATCTTTTTTGAAATCATTTAATCATAAAAAAAATGACACACAAAATCCTGGCCAAGGTACACAGCTTGTTGGCGAGATACGCTCCTTACCAATTTTATAATATTTAAAACACCTTAAAACTATATTTTATATATTACTGCTTGTACGTAGCACATAAGTCCTATGTACAAGCACCAACCCAAAAGCTAAATATACGGATCGACTGCCCCACGCGAATGGACCTCGAACGGATGTGCTGTAGATCCTTCAACTTTAATTTTAAAATAGTTTTATTTAACTTTTGTTAAGTTCTTAACAGTTCTATTCCATTAAATATTTTAGGGACTAGATGTTCAGTCATTTTCTCTGAGTAATAGTTGTTAATTTTGATTTAAGCAGCTTTCTTTGTCTCACATGTCATTTTCCGATAACGCCGAAATAGAATATGCATCTACATCGAGATCTGTTTGCTTTCTTAGGAGAGTCAATCAAAAACCCCTAGCTAACTACAACATGGAGATAAGGAACCCAATTCAGTGAATTTCACTGTACAGCACATTTACCTGATTAGGTTTAAATCAACTCAACTCAAAATTTATCTATTTCAAAAAAAAAATGTTTGAAATCGTCTTTTATGTAGACTCTAAAGTCATAGATCAACACACACAATAGCAAGCATCTCTGTTTTGTCAAATAGTAAGCAATATAAATTTAATAAAAATTTAACTTATACAAAATCTATGATGGGGTGGGGGGTGCCGATCTACAACCGCCGGTTGCCAAGCGGTTGAGCCTCATCAGAAGAAAGGACAAACAAACTCACGGCCACTCTTTTGCAATTTACAGATTAGATGTTATTGTACATTGCATGTTGTATTTTTGCAAGACATTTAGAAGATACAAGAAATTTATTCATAGGTATACTTAAGCCTTAACGTACGGAGGGCCGGATACTCCTGGCACAGGTATCATACATGCTGAAAAAGAGTCTCTTACATTAATTGTTGTGATTATTCCTGAGCTTTGAGATATATTTATGTCTCATAAGAATTTAAAATAATAATTTACTTACATGAGAAAGTTTAAACACATACACAACAAATAATAGTCTCATCGTTGGCGTACACTGAGATATGTGTTGTGTAAATAAAGTTATTATTATTATTGTAGTTGTTATTGTTTGTTCGCAGTGGAAGTCGCGGTGGTGCGTGATGCGCAAACTGTCTCCCGTCGCAGGTGAGTGTGCCTCGCTCACGTCGCTGTTTCAAGTGATTATGTTTGTGTCGCTTTATTGTAAAATGTATGAATGTTAGTAAGCGTGTGTTTAGAAATGCCCGAGGTGCCGAATCATTCGTTTCAAGTCACTTGCTGTATACTATTATGACAGATCTATGGGACTAGTTTTTTTTGTGATCCTGGCTTCTGAGGTAAAGGTCATGGTTTCAATTCTCACCTAGAACCAATAATTGTGTGATAAACATGAACCAGACGATCGTGCCGTGCGAGTCCGGTTATCATACTTGGTACAAGATTTGCCTAGTTTGGGAAAAGTCGTCAACGTGTAAAGTGTCTCAAGTCACTATTATTATTATTATACGTCAACTTCAAGGGTTAACAATGATGTACATAAACTGAGTCACCACCAAGTATTGTTTAGATCTTTGTTTAGTATTGGATGGGATAATGGATTAGTAAACTTTGCTACCGAAAGGAGCCTAAATTTGAGTTTTGTAAATATCTCGTTTATAAACAGAATCATAGCTAACGATTTGAGAAACTTTTTTTTGAGCTATGGAAGATTTTCAACCAAGACAACCAGAACATACATACACTCATGTTTTTTTATCTCCGAACGGGGTAGACGGTGGACGGGGACGGACGGATGGTGGCTATTAATCGCACACATTCTGCCGACTGCAGTTTTAGTTGCATTTACCTACCGTCAACCGTGCACTTAAAAATACAAACAGACGAGAAAAGTCAATAACAAATTGGTACTTATCTAAATACCTTTATGAAGTTATTGTTTTATTCTATGAATGGTGATACAATCCTGTAATGCCATTCCAGGTTTTAACAGATGTTATACTTATTACAGACGCATATACATTTACACAAGTCATGTTTTTTTAAAATCATAAGTACGTAAACACTATCATCACTTAATGTAACTTATGTAGAACAATACATTTGTGACAGACTGGTGCCCGAGATAGGTGTACAGATGCGTTAGGCGTCGCCAGACTCACAATACTAAATTCTGAAATTACGTAGTGTGGTGAGTTCAATAGTCCAAAAATATAACATATTGGTGAAACATTTAGTTGTGTGTTGGTGTGTGTCCGTGTAAGTTCTTGTGGGACTGAATGTATTGATATGTTACTGTCTAGTCTATTTATTGGCCGAGATATTTAATGTTAGATCTTGGCATTGATATGTTGGATGGCCGTCTGGATTCGGATATGAGCAGTAAGAGATGTTGATGGAATAAGATTTTTATCGGTTGCAAAAGCAACATATTTGGCAAGTAACCACAAATACATTTAGAGTCAAAACGTTTTGTCTCAACCATATAAATACGAATACATTACAGTCATCGTTATAGCTATAGTAAGTAATAGTGCAGTGGCTAAAGGAACTCCTTGTTATCTACATAGTTAAATAGATAGTTGAAGCGAAGAGTTCGATAAAGTTGGGGGGCGCTCCGACATGGCCGTGAGCCGTGACATGTGGTCGGTGACCAGTCATTAATGACTGTGCGGGCGTTTTACTGTACCGTGCAGTGTCGCGCCGCTAATTCTAATGCAAATGATAGGCGTAGCGCCGCACCGCGCCACACCACGCCCGCCGGGCACACGTCTCTAATGATCACATTTTAATCCACCGTCGGAGCCAGTGTAATTATTTCCAGACATTAACATAGCTAACATATGTTTTTAAATTGTACGTTTTATAAAATCAAACATAGAATAAAATCACGTAAATATAAAAACAACAATTTTTAAAGCTTCATCCACACCCACAAGTACGTAGTGGCGACGACAGATCTATACTAGTGGTGTGGTCGTGTGAGGCGCCATTAAACAGGCGGCACATCCGCGCGGCGCCGGCGACGGCCGCGCCGCGTGTGGCCAGCCTGCGCCTCTTTACGATTGAACCACTCTTTGTTTCACTCGGGCCGCGTTTCCGTCAAGTTATAGCCACATAAACAACACACAGTGTAATACTCATGACACGGTTCAGTGACAAATTAAAGCAAGCGGTCGTAACTGCACATATTGTAGAACCAGTTCATTAACGAGTCGCAGGGTCTTGTAACTTCACGCATATTAGGTTCTATACCACTACAAACTTGAGTTAGGCAGCCGGAAACATCGCGGTCATCCATAGTGATCTTAACTTTATATCGAATGCTAAACAAACATAAATTTTTCACTTTAAACTACTACGAATTCTCCTGGCAGAGATGTCACGGTATGACAGGAAAGGCAAGCACGCTGTACTAACATATTGAACCACTTCGATGTGGAAATGCGTTGCTAAATAGCGATTGAGGATAGATGACTGCTCACTTAGCATCGAGCAGCCTACAGCTTCTAGTCCAAAGCAATTTAATTATGTTAAAGGGGGTAGGGGAAAAGCTTTTGGGTGATAATACCTGTTACGATGTCTTTAAATAAAGAAACTATTACAACTAAGTAGGTTTAAAATGTTAACGAGTAATAGTGAACAAATGTATTACTTGAAAACTTTATAAAAATATAAAAAACCAGCTGTACCACGCCACGTGGCCACGCTGAGGTATATTGTAGTTGCATTGATGAGAAATGAGAAACAGAAGTTATGCAAAAAATAAATAAAAAACATTTTTGAAGCGTGTTGTATATCGTGTCAAAATTTTAGCTCAATCGGTGCAGAATTTTTCTAGATTTTGAAGCGTACACATACCAACTTAACATTTTTTTACTCGTACATAGATTACTTACATGGATCAGTCACATACACAACCCTTCATTGGACGTGACCTGACACGCGCTTGGCCTTTTACTTTCAATGGATGACAAAACATAACATGTCTGCAGAGAGCTTGTTCACATTCACATTTCTAAACAACAACAATATCATGTCCAACAGAATCGGCTAAGTTCCACGCTTATCAGTTATCAATAGGGTTCAGATGTGTGATTGTGTGTTCTCTCTTGTTGATAATTAATAATAATAATATAATATAATAATATATCTCACACACTCACACACGGCCGTCTGATCCCAAACTAGGCAGAGCCTGTACTATGGTGACCAGACCGCTGATAAACATACTTATATATTTCTAAATACATACATATTATAGATAAATTACACCCAGACACAGAACAAATGACCGTGCTCATCACACAATATTTGTCCTGGGTGGACAAATAATTAATTAATTATGTTGATAGCTTGTGTTTGTTGTGTACGTAGACTGCGTGCACCTTCAGCTGTACCGCGACTCGAAGGCGCGATGGGGCGGCGCAGCGAGCAAGGCCTCCCTGTCGCTGCAGCACTACCTCGGCAGCGAGTCGGGCTTCACGCTCGATAAGCACTCCAACACACTGGCGCTTGTGTGCAGGGACCTCGTCGCCATACTCGCCTTTGAGACCCGCGAACGACTCATACAGTGGCAGGTGACTACGCTACGCTACACTATGCCTCTAATAAACTGAATGCTACGTTTAAGAATATTTTCTTTGTAAATTTGGTATATGATAGCCAATTCTTTTACTAAATCAGATATGACGTAATGATCTTCTTTACTATTGCAATTTTGTACATTTTTGGTATGAAGTGTGAACGATCAAGGCAAAGTCAAATGATAATAAAAATGGACACAACAACGAGCTGAACTCATGAAGCTTGTTAGCTAAACGATGTAAGTGTGCTGTGTTCAGGTAAAAGTAAGCGCACAGCTGGGAGAGCCGCGCCATTACCTGGTGCTGGTGGGTGGCGCGGGAGCAGCCAGCGTGATGGGGGGTGGACCGGTGCCCAGTAACAAGCGACTCCCGGCAGGGCCCGCACGCTTGCATTTGCACGAGCGTCGCCTCGCGCTCACTGCCGGCGTACCGCCAAGATTACTGGGGATATGGGAGCTTCCGCATCTCAGGTACAGCTCTATTTATACATTCTTATTTAGGCAGCTTTATGCCAATTGGATCTGTTTTCATTGTTGCAAGTTGTTAAATTAAAAACTGTAGCCAGTAATAGTACTATTTTTATTTTAAATATAAAAACAAAACACTTAACCCTGGGTTCACTTACTACAATGTAGGCGCTACGGTGTGGTGGAGGGGCGGTTCTGCTTCGAGGGTGGCTCGCACTGTGGTAAAGGCGAAGGTCTACACGTGCTCATTACAGATCAGGCGCATGAGATCTCGCGGGACTTTGATCTTGCTTCGCAGGGTCGACTATCGCCCAGAAGACGACCAAACCACTTTAAAAGAAATGAAGGTATGACTGACCTCAACTGTATTTAGTTGAATCTTTAGAACAAATTTTTGGTTAAAATGAAGAGATGGGCTGTTTCGATGATGGATTTTGTTACTCTCTATAAATAAAACAAGTGATCTTAACCCATTGTCGTCGTTTTTGCTATCATGTTATATATACAATCCATGTTAAGCTATTCAGGGTCACTAACCACTACACCAACAGTACAGTTTCTCTGTATTGGACAGCTTAATACTATTGCACACATAAAAAGCGTGTTGCAACTGGTACATTGCTATCATGCGTGTTGCAATATGTAATACTCGGGTTGGTCTCTATGTTTGCAAACTATTTAAATACTATAGTAATATATATATACTTGTTTTGTGTATTGCAGTTTTTTTATTATGATAACTTTTAACAACTGATAGAAATCTATTCTGTGTTACGGGGGACTTTACAAATATTCATGAAACGGGCACAAAGAATACCTAGACTGAGAACAACAATTTGTGGATCACCGGAAATCTTGTCCCATGTGGGGGTCGATCCCACAACACTTAGCGTAGTATCGATAGCGGGTTCGATCAACGATCCCAGCGAGGTAACCGCTTAAACCTCTACGCCATCCGAGCTGTTCTTTTGTATATAGTTTATGTGTTATTAGCAATGATATAGTAATGTTCTTTTAACAGGTGTAGATAGTCCAAAGTCACATAAAGCGTATCGCCCAGATACGCGGCTGTCGGAACTGAACACAATCGATCACTCCCTCCCGCCGATGGACTTCCGGCACTACGATGAAGCATGTGGAGGAGAGGACAACGGTGCAATCTCGCCGTACTGGCCGTCTACAGAGCGAAATCAGTTTCCAGATATGGGGCTAGGGGATACGGCCTCGGTTCATGAAGGAGATTCGGGTGATGCTACAGCTTGGGGGAACGGGGTCGGCAACGTGACGCTGGAGCGGTGCATGAGTTGCATTTCGAAACTCGGTGCTATGTCAAGGTCGTCAACTGCGGCCCTAACTCCCGGAGCAAAACATTTTAACCCTGCGTGGACCATGGAGCCGGTTCACGAATCTGTCCCAGATACTGTGACTCATAGTGATAGTTTACCTAGTGCTGATGATAAGACTGAAGTCTGCCGCTGTGATGAGCCGCCAAACCTACCTCCAGACAGACCTCCCAAACCCACCAGGCTGGATTTGAATCTGAATAGTAGACCCATGACCTGTAGCTGCCCCCACACAGCACCCGCTGAAGACAAATCTAGCAGAGTGGGTCCCTATGACAATTACGATGTACCAAAATTGCCTTCAGCAGAGGTATTTGAATACTTTACTTATACATAGTCGTTTTAATATTATCGATTTATGACAATGTTACTTATTCAATCTTTACGTTTACATTGTAAATATATTATAGTTTTTTTTTGCCAGGTTGAAGGTGAATATTACGATACACCGAAAAGGCTTAAGGAATGTCTAAGTAACGAACTTTTTAAAGTTACAAAAAGTACTACACCAAACTCTGTTATACTAAAAAAACCTTGTGGATGTTTGTTGAAGTTTGGGAAAAGACGGAGAGAGCCTACAATCGTTGATTCCGAAGAAAATTTCCAACCAGTAAATTGCCCATGTCAGCGCGTCACCGATTGGGCCAATAATTGGATCAAACTGCCATACTGCAGGAAAAACACTGTATCGAGTGATAACTTACAGCCAAACAAAGAAAACGTAATGCCAATTAGTAATGACCGTAGCGCATTGTATGCAACTATTGACCTTTCGCGAAAAACGAGGCGAAAATCGCGTCCATGCGAACAGCAAGATGATGGGTTCAACTCGGAATGCGCAAAAATGAGTATGATGAGACCTGTAGAAATTGACAATGGCCCACTCGCCAACTACGAGAACTTAAGTTTCGCCTTGTCCCTGGAACACTATGAAAATGCTAAAGATTTATTAAGAAAGGCAGGTGTCACACAAGCAGAACTGGATGCAATTAGCGCAAATCTTAAACCAATTTCATTTACAAATGTAAATGGCAGAAATATCTGTACTAAATGTGGTCATCCACAACAACGTGCACAAGCAAAACTAGATTCATTATCTATTAGTACCAATGATGATTATTTAATGATGGAACCAAATGTCATGGAAGCAAAGCTAGAGCACAGTAAGACACTGCCTTCAGGCTACACACCCATGTCACCTATTGGTGGTTTTGCTTTTAATACTCTAAAGCATCCAGCAAAAAGTCCGATAAACAGGTTGCTGGAAGAAAAATCAGCAAGCAATCCTACACTTTGTGGTCCTGATGAATGTCGCCGCGTCCAAAGTCACGAAAGCGGAGACGTAACACGTGCGTCAGGTTCCTCTAAAGAGCGGATTGAAAGAGTTGAATATAGAAAACGTTCTAGTTCAGCAGATTCTTCACGATTCCTCGAGGATGTGAAGGAATTTGAGGGCAATGTTGACAGCCACGGCTCTAACTCCTCCATAGAAACGCTAAGAAATATTGCTCTTGACCACCGGATGCCAACACCGTGCGATTGTGCGACTGATAATAAAAATTCGGATGCTGAGAGTTCAGAAGCTTCAAAAGACGCTGAAGGCAGAGAAATACCGCTAACTAAGCGCTCATCATCAGTGCCAGGCAAGGCTGGCGGTAACCGTGATTCATCGTCGTCTAATGACTCTGGAGTATCAAGTTGTTCATTGCGACGCGCAGGAGAACTACCCGATTTTGAACTGCCCTTGACAACATCTGCAACTTGGAGACATTATCGCAGTACGCGCCGGGCAGCTGCCTGCATACACACGTCCTTACCACGACGTTCTAAATCTACGGACCCACTGAGAGATTTTGCCACTCTGCAGCGAGTTCGTATTCCAGCAAAATCTTCATCTGCCGAAGCCGAGGTGCCCGTGTTAACTGCAAAACCACTACGAAGTAAGTGAAATAGCGAATTGAAGTTAAGCATTTGATCTTTGTTAACGATAACAAAAAACAAGTTTTAACATGTGTTTTGTTTAATGATAGAAGGTAATCTTATCGTACATTTTAATATTAGAAACGATGTGGTAGTTGTAATGAATCTTGCCAAGAATATTATTGTGGCAATATTATTAAAAAAAAATAATTGCTTTAGTAATTTTTAAAGTAAATACTTACAATAAGAAACAAAGAGTCTTTGTATAACTGCTTTAAATAAGAAAATACCTAAATTTTTCTACTTTGGAGATATTAATTAACAAAAATTGGATTTAATATAACATACTAGAGACATCGGGTGTCCTTGATCTGAAGAGTTTCGTTGCAGGCGTAGTGGACACACACAGCACTTCGAGCGGTACGTCCGACATGTCGGACTACATCGAGACGTTGTCGATCTGCTCCTCACATTCCTCAACAGATACTCCCGTCACCATGAGGTGAGTGTATTGGGTACCATTATTTTGAGCTTTATACATGTATGATACCATTTTTCACATAGCGTAATGTTTAATATATGAAGTTAACACAGATTCAATGTTGATGAATTTGGACGAAAAAAGCGAACTGGATGCAAAAAGCGCTTCAATGCTCTTAACACTTTTATTAAGATTGACGATTGTCTTTAAGTTTTTAAATATTTTTTTGTATAAATCAGATAAGAAAGGTTGCAAGTTTAATATTTAAATTTATAATTTGAGGGTGTTTTTATACTAAGTGAAAATTTTGATTTCAATCTAATTGTTAGAAGTAGTATTGAATATTATAGGTTGTAAATTGTGTCGTAACTGCAAGGTTCCTGTTTGTTGTTAGGGTGATGCGTCAGACAACGAGCACTCTGCGGCCGCGGTCGGGCAAGGAGTACCAGAACTTGGACCCACGCCTCACGTCCGTGTACCGAGGGCCCGCGCCGCACGCGCTGTCGCGCCCTCATCACGTACATTATTACACAAACCTGCCCTAGACATACCTCTATTTGTGCAGGTGCGGACGCTACAATCATTTTTAATATGTTTTTACTGCGACTTTATGAATTAGACATAATTACAAATCTTTAAGTAATTCTGACCATCTAAACTATTTTTTATCTTTATTACACTAATCGCAAAATGTAGCAGTTAACTTTTCATTTTCGATGATAGTAAAAAAAAATGCTTTATGCGAGAAGAACCTAAACGCAGCGCTCTAAGCTGCTTATCGCTGCCTGATTGCAACGTGACGTTCTAAGTTTGTCGACAAAGAACACATCATCAAACTGGCATCTTTACAGTACTAATAAACATTTAGGGTCTTTGAAGCGGTGAAGCACCTAATATAAAATATTGCACTCGTCCGAGGCCAATATTTTATTCGTAAACGATTACTTATTAAGCTGTTTATTAAACGGCTCGCTCAACTCACACACTTGCAAATATGACTCACATTAAATACTTGCTGTTGTGTGTTTCTAAACAGGATATGAAAAACAAGAGAGAGAACAACATATGTACAAGTGTGATTAAACACTCGTAAGTTATCAAGTTATACTCAGTATGTGAGTGAGTCAGGGCTCACAGGGTGTACGCGGGGACCGAGATTCAAGTAATACGAGTTTAAAACTTAGTAAGATATGTATATGGTTCTGTTTTTGGTATTTCTTTAAATGTTAAATTAGGGTAGCGCTGTTATAAATCCTCTTTTTCGGAGGATCCATGGTGGGAATCAGAAATGTCGATGTAGACCACATTCGCAAACCTCAAACTAGAGCACTTGATCTGAAAATCAAGTGCTCTAGTTTGAAAGTAGTAATGTCAGAATATAATGTAGTGCTGCCAGTATGCTGCTGTAGTCAAAATTTAACATAGACTGTGGCATAGTATACCTACTTGAAGTAAAATATGTTTGTTTACTAACATCTCCAATCAAATCGCTATCGAAAACTGTTTACCTACCAAGTTTTAAACACGACTTTTACTACTCGGCTCAGTTGTCAAGGCGAGGCCAAGAGATTAAAGGTTTTGCATCTTATTGTCTCGCCGTCTCAACCAACATTATAATTGCCGTACAATCCGTCTCTCTGATATTTGGTGTCACAGTTAATCCTTCCATAAATACCAAATTTTAGGAAGAAACATAAATCGTATATAATTTTGTTAAAGTATAAAGTGCAATGCAAGTGTGTGGGTGCTAAGACCAGGTTTTAAGTTTATAGAAATGATTTGTAGCATATAAGCCAAGTACGATACTATTTAAATATCTTTGTGTTGCCTTTGACATATTCATGTTCGTTGTCGGGATGTCTCAATTTTAGTAGCACCTTATTGAGTTCACCTCGCTCACCAAAATAAGAATAATAAAGGCTGGCAACGCGCTTGTGACTCCTGAGTTGCAGGCGTTTATGGGCGGCGTTAGTCGCTTTCTATCAGGTGACCCGTCTGCTCGTTTGCAACCTATTCCATAAAAAAAATGTCGGTAACAGTTTGTCGCTCGTACTGGTTAAGTAAATTTCATAGTCATGTAGTACTTTAAGTGATGTAAAGTGCACGGACTTAGTTCTGTTTAGTCTGTGAGTTAAGTGTCATCCGTCCAAAGTCTGTCTCTCGTGCGTGACCTATTGCGTACATCTTCTCTCTGTGGCTGTCCGATGGCACCTGAACAAAATACTTATCCATCGTTGGAGCATCGTCTAGAATTACTCCGATATCGAACAACACCAAATGCACTCCTATGTCTGTTTGAATGTGGACATTGTTTATGTCAGGTGTCATCGGCTCATCGTTAGTGAATATTATGTGTGTAAATAGTTGTTTGTGGTTGTCAGCACTCGCTATCAGTTGGTTTAATGTAGGTCCTCACAGTGCGATCTTCATCAAATAGTAAAGCGATAAAGTACTTCAGTTGGCGCTTGCGCCTCGTGCGCCCGCACTCGCATGACGTGTGAGTGTTAATTCTCTTTGCGATGAAAACTGAACGAATTACAAAACAGGTCAAATAGAATAACTATTGTTAATAATTTTTTAATTGTAAACACAAACATTGTAGTTACAAGAGTGGATAGGACGATTTCATGTTCTCCCTCTGTGCGAAGTAGTCGCGACGTCGTATAGTGGGTGGGTTAGTCGAGCACTCGTCGCGCGGACTCGTTTAGAACGATGTAAATGATATATTAAATAGTAATAATAAATAATTTTATAAATTTAATCTCTACAACGACTCTCTTGTCTGTACTTTGTTACGATGATGTAATATTTTGATATTCGGAGTTTATCTGGTGTGAGACGTGTGTCCACACGCACGCAACGATAGCAATAAGGTGACGGCCCGACGTGATCTGTACATTGTATGTAATATTATATATAATAAGTTAGAGTGAGCGGTCGGTCGACAGAGAGTGGCGCGACTGTCGCGCGACTGTCGCGGCGTTGTCGCCGCACTGTCGCACGTGTCGCGCCAGAAGACTGGAATTGTAAGCAGGTTGTTTAGATATTACGCTAGCGAATGAATTTATATTATAATGAAAACTAATGTTAATAAACTTGAAATTTCCAAATAAAACGTAAATAACTTGAGTGAGTTTCATTAATATTTCCTACACAGTCACTACAAACACAAGCAACACAATTAGTTGCAAAGCGAGCACAATGGGCACAACTGTGTACCGTGTGACGTCACATCGGCGGAACTGCACATTTGTAATAATTTGTTATTGTTTCTGGATAATTCTCATATCATAAAAGTTAATAGCGCATATCTCTGATAATAGGTGGGCTAGGTGCATAAGCACGCCGGTGCCCGAACAAATGAAAACAAAGGCAAAGCCTTGGTCTCGAAGCCATTCAGAACGTTAATCCCCCTTTTTTTTCCGTGCAGTAATCCCCTCGGATACCACCTATCGGTGGCATGTCGGGTACTAATAGCCGGGGAACCAGGTATACCCTAGAAAGGAAGTCCCTGGTGCAGAACGTTAATCCCCTGTACCTCCGCGTTGTGGATGAGGCCAGAAGTTGGCATTTTGAGATGACTATAATACGACAAAATATTTTTCCAAGTTTAAGTAAATAATAGATTTGAATCCTGGATATGACATAAAAACCAATTTCAAAAACATTGCATAATTTTTGAAGTTAGTTTTTATCGACTTTTTCATCAATGGCTTGAATTCATATCTATATGGATTGATTTAAAATCTTTAACGCAACACGCTCCATCTGCTTTTCTGAGAATCGGAGCTCAAAATATCCGAAATTTGAAACGGTCATAACTTTAACTTTTTTTTTCCCTAAATTGAATTCCAAAGATAAGTAGGTTCTATAAGTGTTTAAAGCTAGAGTCGCATTTTACGGACACTGCCTCTACTGCTCGATGATAGTTTTCTAAAAAATAATAAAATCATGCTGCGGCACAGCTGTCTTTGCATTGTAAAATCAAAGATTCTACGGTAGATTACAGACAGTATACACTGCAGAAGTAATTATTTTAAGTTAAATCAGTATAGGTATCATTATCTGAAATCTGAGTGCAATATCATTATCCGATGAAATCATAAAGACGGATATTATAAATTATTTTGAAGGTCAAAGATACCAAGCGAGTTTTAATTTATCTTAAGTACAAGTCTGACAATGAGCTCATGGTATGTTTTTATTCGTTCTTATATTAAAACCAATCAATTTACGAAAGCTTTATTTTAGAGACAGGACACTAAAATAAAACAAGGAACTCATCACAATCCTGAACATATTAATTGAATGGTATCATTGAATGTAGTAATGTAATCTTTGTTGAGCTCTTAATGCTCCCGGGTGTTAGATATCGCAATCAACTCGTGTTGGTTGCCATTAAAGGCGTGTCGTGAACGAACTTTATAATGAAATCATATAAGTAATCGCTTACTTGCCAACTAAATAGAAATGGCACGTCTAGTGCACCCACGTGACACGCAATTGAGAGCGGCTTACGTGATCGAGACACAACCGGTACTGGGTTGAATGTGCACTTTATTGTCCTTTGATATTATATAAGTATTTACTCACCGACTAAGGAAAATAGTTTAAAATACGACCAATAGACACGTGAGATATGTATGGATATATTATCGATAACTCACCTTTGTTTGATATTGATTCGTTACACATCAATATCTCAATACATTTTTGTAATGCCAATGAGTTCTTATGACAAACTAGATGTACACTGAAAGACTTCGCTATGGCACATTGTGCTTGCATTGATGACATGTAGCACTAGCTATCTATTGAGGTAGAAAGAAGCCAGGTATGACACCAGTTGAGGCCAGAATAGGCCAGGTAGAAATCGATAAAATTTGTAATGAAACCATCGGACGAAGAACCAAAGTTATCATCCGACATAGAAGACACAATAATAATTATGTAGCTCGTAAAATATCCATGGTGAAGTGTCGTATCGTTGTATCTGTGTATGTGTCTTAGAGTGGACACCGCATATCGGTGAACCAAAAGTAGGACAAGGATAAGGACAGATAAGGGCTATAGGGGGTAGACTAGATACGGAAGGACCGCGGGCTATGGTGCACGTTTGGAGAGGTTACTGCAATAGGTTAATCGACATCAGTTTAGGTATCATGTCTGTAAACCTGAAAATCCTTATAAACTCTTCATAAACCGTAATTAATGTTACACTTTAACCTTCTTTATTAATATCTCTAGACATTGTTGAAAGCGCATAATAATCCGTTAAGTACTTTTGAAGTTTATCTCATTCATACAGACGTACAGAAGCGGTAGGAATTTGAAACTTAATTATATACTCAAATCCTTAAACATTAATTTTGTTAATATACAGATCACAATCAAGTAATGTATCTAGCAACCTGAGTGTCGTCATAACTTGTACTCACAATATATATCTATATATGTCTGTGTATATATATATATGTATACGAGTATATATATTTATATATATATATACTATATTATATATAATATTTATATATATATATATATA